TATAAAATTTTCTCTTGTAGAATTTTAAAAGATCTTCTTTCGTTTAAGTGTTTTTTCTACATAATCACGACTCATTCCATTTCATTAATTATTCAATAGCAGTAAAAAGCACATCGCATTTAAATAATCTGATTTTTAAGTATAATAACTGAACCATAAAGATCATAGATCCATGCAAATAAACATAAGTGATAAGCTTTCATAATTATAAGTTCTAGTATTAAGATATATCTTTAGTTATCTATTTTAAATCATATTGAAATTTTATTCATAGACGAACAACATCAAATCGTGAACTTTATCAAACACCATTACCACAACTTTCTGCTGCTATTCCATTTGTTCTAACAGCACCATCAATAATAACAACAAGAACAAATGAAAGTGATCAATTGAATTTACCTCTTTATCAACTTGATGATTTATCAACACCGAAAACATATGATACATCATTAGAATTTAAAGAACGTCTTGATGAATTAAATCTTAATACTGATCGTTCAAATCTTCAACGCATATTATCAACACAAAGAACATTATCTGATGAACCAAGAGCAATGCTTAGATCAAAATCAGCTAAATCATTATCGACGTCGAAAAAAAAGACAAATAATGATTCAGATTGGAATACAGACACACTAAGACTTAGTCGTTATGCATTACAAGTACATCAAGACGATCGTTATGGTACTTTACATACACCGCGTAGTACACCACGTGGTACACCACGTCAAAATCTAGATGATGAATTGTTATTATTAACAACTAGATCAACATTAACAGACTTATCATTTACAAGTAGTATAAATGTTAATGCTGCTAATAATGAAGATTCATCTGTTTATTGTCCATCAGTTGAAGAAGTGCGCAGGTAAAATTGTAACAATAAAAAATCTTTATATGAACCCCATCTAATGATTAAATCATTCCCAATTATCGCTTAATATTTTGCTTTCAGCAAGACAAAAAGCAAAAGATAAACTAATAGTATGTATATTTGATTTCATTGATCATTAGAAAATAGTCTTCTGTTTGGTAGTTTATTTACATATTTAAATAAATTAATAAACTATTTGAAATTTTTATTTGTTTATTTTCTTTTTGTTTTATTATTATTTAGTCTTCGAGATGATATTGATGAAGATATGAAAGAAATAGATATATATTTTCTTAGTTTAACTTGCAAAATTCCGGAAATTTTAAGTAGTGCATTAAGTAATTATATTGTTATTTCAACATTACGTTACCAGAGTGATCAGCAATCATCAACATTATCAAATAATCATCTTCATGATTCGTATGTTTAATTGTTGTTTTTTTTTTTTACATTAAATTAAAACAAAGACAATTTTCTATTTAGAATGGATGTTACAATAATAAAATTTTCTCAATTAAAAAATGAAATTTTACAATCATATAATAATACAAATCAATTAGTTAAATTAACCAATGAATTATATAATGCATCTGAAAAATATTCAAAAGTGAAAGAACTTTTTTGGAAGGTTAATTATCATATGTCTTTTTTCTATTATATCAACTTTGACTTTTTTCTTTTCTTTAAAATTATTTGTTAGGATCCTGATTTATTTACTTATTATGTTGCACAATTTCAATCTTGTTCTCAAGATATATCAAATAATGATTTTGATGATTCTACAATTGAGTAAGATAAAATGTTTTTTTTTATTTATTTGCGTCTCTTCAAATTTGTATAATTTAAATATTTAGTTTTACTTGTTCGATTTTGCAATTATTAAATGAAGTTTTTCTAAATACATTTGCATCAAATGAACGATTGACACGTTTAACACATGATGAGTAAGCTATTTATTATTTAAATGATTTATATATTTAAATATTTTAATCGATACTTTAAAAGTTGTCTTTTTTTTTTTTCATATCAAAGAATTTAGCAAAACTATAATTTGAGAAAGTCATGCAGATGAATCTTTAAAGCAATTAACTTCAATTTTCATTTGAGTTAATAAAAATTATTCAACTATGTGAACCATATAAAGAAAGATTTTTCTATAGAAATTCCACATTTTCCGGATGAATTATATAGAGTATAGAAAACATAATGGTGGCAGCATTATAATATCGTAAAAAAAAAGCTTGAGAAAGATTTTTCTCTTCATGTGCCGATGTTAAAAAATATTGATCTATTTCTCTACAATATTTTATCATTCTTCAATTCATATTTTCATAGAAAGTATAAAAACCATCATTAACAAGGCAATGAACTTGTTCGATATTTTGAGATATTGTTTCAGCGACAGTAGCTGATGGATTATGTTTCATCTTTAATATCTACTCGGTTTTCACGAAATTATGTAGATCGTCTTTCACGTGTTTTTGAAAGGTAGAGTCTAGTAGCTGAATACAAATTTTAGATCATCATTAACAATGTCACACTTTATATAAAATACTATACAAACTTTAATGTAGAAACAAAAGTTTTCTTTATCCATTGAAATTCAGTTACTATGTTATCAATTAAAAAGATGACAAAATCCGGAGTACTGCTTCCACTATCAGTAGATATATGGAAAGAATTTCTTTGAGTTTTCTATATTGCATTAATGTGTAATCATTACTTATTCTAGCATACTCTAACAAAACAATGTTTTCAAGTGTAAAATCGCTATGAATGGAAATCCAATGTATTATGTAGATCGTAATGAGCTATGAATACCCGGAATAAAAACGTAAACCAAGCAAACTGAATTTTGACTTGAAACTTTATATAGGGACAAACCTTGATGAAAATAGTTTATTGTAAAAGTGTCTAATTTATTGTTGATTACTCCTATTCTAAAATGAGAACATTGAAATCCCGTTGATGTATATGAGTGACATAAATAATGTTCTTTTACCATCGCTATATCTCAGGATAGGAAAAGTACAATTATCTGAAACTTTCACAATAATCTATTCTTGTTGAAAATTCTTTGCATAGGGTAGAACTTTCAGAAATATTTTTCTTTTGTTTTCTTGTTCTACTTGTAAAGAAAATTATATTTTATACAGTTGCTCACGAATTCAAAATCTTGTTAATTGTCTTTTGATACCTCCCATTACTTTACTCACGACACAACCAACAGCAACAACAACAACAACAACATCTGATGATTCAGAAGAAAATGAAAGATTACAAGTAAATTATTTCATATAAATTAATGTTCTTTGACTTGAAACAAAACAAAATTTAGAATACATACAAAATAGTACTAAAATGGATGTTTGGATCAGGTACTTTAATATGGCAAATTGGAAATATGCTCAGTCGACCATCATGGACATCAAAAGATTTCCGTTTTCGACACTTTATTGAATTATTTGAAAAACAACAACAAAAAGTAAATCTTCAATAGAATTTTTATTTTTTACTAATAAACTCTACATAGATGGTCATAATATAATTAAAATATTTTAATTCTAAAGTATCTACATTTGTTTGCATTCATTCAATAGAGAAATTAAGATTTATTGTATCTCGACAGATATAAATAAAGTCAAATCTTTCTAATTTTGAGATCTTCGAGATCAACCAAAAGTGTTCGTGATTGGAAGATTTTTAGCTTCTTTTTTGCAACCTATAATTAATCAGTTGTAATTGCTTGTCGACTGCATGATGTGACTTTTTTCTCTTCATTCTAACAATTTATTAATTCAACTAAATCAGCAGGCATTGACATGATTTGAAATAATTAGCTGTTAACACAACGATAATGAGATGTTTTTCCAAGTACTATTGTTTAATTTTTTTCCTTATGCATCCCATAATTGTTTCTAATAATTTAATACAAAAAAAAAAAAGAACGTTTCTTTCTTGTTCTGTACATGAGTGATAGAACATATTTTGCTCACTATACAGAAATTGTTCTTGCTTATGGAACCAGAGAAAAAGGCTCACTAGAGCCCGTCATGTTGGAGTGAAAATTTTAGATCCAACGGGCTCTAGTCACTGAATGCAAAAAACTGGAAAAAATATCTCGTATCATCGAAATGACTATCTAATGCGCATTAGAAAATTTCATTGAGATTATCAAAGTACGGCTCGATCAAGTCTAGGATCCACTAGTCAGAATAACGAGATCTTCATATTTGAGAGGTTTATTCCTAAAAAAATTTACTTCGTCGGACTATAGTCTGACCCGTAAAATGTGGTGCTCTTATAGAAAGATTTTACTACATATATAACTCTGTAATTAATTATAAGCAACACTAGAAAGTCAATGGCAAAAGTTCTTCAAAGAATCTATTTCTATTCTTTGTAATATATATAAATGTTGTCTTATCTAATATATATATATATATGTATCTTAGGATGAATATTTTGATTTATTTATCGATGCATTATCACGGTTAATAATGAATAAGGAAAATAAAGTAATCATCTTTTCTCTATTAATTTCGCTATTTTTTTTTTATAAATATATATTTTCTACTAGGATCCATTTAGTCCAAAACATGCATTATATGTCTATCAGTTTTTTTCCATATTATCAATGTTATTAATTAATTCAACGATGTTTTCTGAATATATTCGTGATCGATATCTTGAAGATTTTAAGTATGTTTTATATGAAATTTTCATTGTTATAAAATTCTTTTCTTTCTTGTTTTGTTTTTGTTCATTATTAATTAAATAGATATTTTTTAAAAGAAGATGTTATACTTTCAAGAATTCCTGTTCAATATCCAGTCTATCGTTTTATTCCAGAGCTTATTCGCGGTGTTCATTATCGTATATTATATGGTGAACCAAATTATAATCTATCAAATCGTCCAAAACATCATCAACTTATTTGAAATGAACTTTCTTGTTCAAATCAGATTTATTTCCGCAATAATATATTTTTTTTCTGCTTTCTATGGGTGATTCTATAAAAAAAAAACTATTTTATTTACATTTTCTCAATTAATATTGTTTCTCCCTTTTTTTTCTGTTTTTAAATTAACATTTTTATTTTAGTAAAAAAAGCAAAACAAAATTATTCAACAAAATATTTAATTAGACTTATGTAATGGGGATTTTGTTCATATTTTGCATGAATAACAACTTCTCCAGAACCGGCAGTTATTTCTCGTTGTAAAATCTGATCTACATAACCTTCAGATCGAAGTGTTCGAGAATCAATTGTTAATATAACTGATTTTGCACCAGGAATATAACAATGAATAGGTACAATAGAATCTTTTTTTAATATTCCATTTAATGGTGTATAAATTTGACATTTTGTAGTTTGAAATTGTGTATAAGTCATTGGAAATTTCATCGGTTGTCTAAGTTTTGTAACATTCAATGAAAACATAGCAACGGAATTAGCTGATTTAGCAGTATGATCTATTCGTTTAGCAAAAATTATTAATTCATGTCGACCTGTTTGTTCAGGTGCAAATAAAAGTTGCCAAAGTTTTTTTTCATAATCATATTGTGCTAATGCACCATTTTCTATAGGTCTATTTTGATATTCTATAGAACATGACATTTGAATATCATCTGGTGCTCGAATAAGAATTTCTGCATAAGATAATGTTTCTATCCATTTAGCGGTTGAGCAATTTCGTGGTGCTTCAATTGTAAGGTCAAAATCATGAAATAATTCCCATGTCTTTGGAAATGTTACAGGTCGTGTAGGAATATGATTAACTTCAATTTGAAAAGTAACAACAAGAGAATAACGTGTATCAGAACTAGATTTTTTCTTTGCCATAATCATAGCACTAAAAACATCCTTATTATTAGGTGCAAATTTACAATACCAAATATTTTTGTGTCGATTATAATAAACTTGATCTGCATTCGGAATTTCTTCTTCATTAGAATTTTCTAATTGACCTATAAGTTTGACGTCATTTGGAGTTTCTAAACATATATCAACAAATGAAGATTGTTCAGATAAAATGATTTTATAACAATCATTTGGAGGTAATAGTTTAAGATTAAGATCATGAAAAAGTTGTGTTGTTTTTGGTAAAGATTTTCGTTGAAATGAATGTCGTTTTACGTCAATTTGAAATGATACAACAGAAATATAACTTCCCGAATCGGATTTTTTCTTAGCAAGTATAAGAGCATCAAAAATTCCTTTTCGATTAGGTGCAAATATACAACGCCAATAATTTTTTTCATTATCATAAGAAATTTGACTTCCATCAGATATTTTTTCATTTTTATCATTTTGTAATTGACTCCTTAAACCAATATCATTAGGAGTTTGTATGAGAATTTCAGTACACGGTGTTTTATTACGTAAGACAATAATACCCTGATCAATTGGAGAAAGTATTTTAAGACCAAGATCATAAAAAGTTTGCCAAGTAGTCGGAAAAGTTAATGATGGCGACGAAATTTGATTTGCATTAATTTTGAATGAGACAGCAGAAGAAAAACTTTTCGGATCAGATTTTTTCTTAGCAAGTATAAGAACATTAAAGATTCCGGACTTATTTGGAGCAAATCGACATCTCCAACATTCTTTTTCACGATCATAATAAACTTCATTAGCATACGGAATTTTTTCTTCATTATGATCCATAAGTGTACCCATTAATTCAATATCAGATGGTGTTCTTATAAGTATTTCTGCATATTTTTCACTATTTTTAAGATTAATTAAATGTGTTTTTAATGGAGAAACTATTTTTAATCCATAATCAAAAAAAATTGACCAAGTTTTTGGATAACTTATTCGATTTTTTGGCATTTGTTTTATATCAAGTGTTAAATCAAGTACAGATCGAAATATATTAACATCTGTATTATCACGTTTTGCATAAATTGTTATTTTATGACTACCAATATTAGATGGAGCAAAATAACAATTGTAAAGTCGTTTTCTTTTATCAAAAATAACCTGTTGACCACCTTCAACTTTTTCATCATGTAATTTTAAATCACCTGTAAGACATACATCAACTGGTGCTTTCATAATAACTAATGCAAATGGTTCGTCTTGTTCGAGATTAATAAAACATTGATATCGAGGTTGAATCATTTCAAGTTTATATTCAAAGTATTCTGGACGAAGATGAGGCATTTGTAAATATTGTGTCATTTTTATTGGTGTTTGTAATAATTGCCATTTTTCATCTTCAGGTAAATGATGATAAATCATTTCATTTGGACGTGGAAGAAAATAATATGATGATAATTCACGTTTAAATTCTTTTGCATCATCTAAATGTCCAGCACCCCATGTTGATTCCATTAAATACCAATGATGATAAATCTCAACAGCATTCCAAGCATGATCTGTTTCAGTTGGTGCACCTTCTCGATCATCAAATCCATAACCTTTTGAATATCCACTGACGATTTCACATGGTATTTCTAATTGATTACATAGATATTTATATAAATTAGCATAACCAGCACATACACCTTTTCGTGTTTGAAAAACTCCTTCAGCTGTTTGATCTTTATAATCTTTTGCAAAATATGATACAGCATCATATTCAATATTAAATGTAATCCAATAAAAAATAATCCAATGACGATCAACTATTGATTTACCTTTAGATATATCTTTAATAAATTGAGTAAGTTGTTGAAGTGAATTTGGTTGCCATAATTCAATTGTTGATCGATATGAATTATTATTTATTGCTTGTTGACGTTGTTGAATAAAAGGATCATTGAAAGCTGCTGGATCAGCAACTTCAATATGAATGAAATCATCAACTTTTGTTGATTTTTCATTTTGTATACCATTATCTAGTTGAATTTCTTCTTTAGTTTCATGTTGAGATTTGATTGAATCATCATAATATCTTGTATCACTATCAGAAACTTGATCACTTTTATATCGTTGAGTTTTACAACATTTACAACATTTACATCCCATATTTTTTGTTTATGTGTTATATCAAAGTGCACTGTTTTCTCTTATAACAACAGAATGAAGTCGACGAAAACAGCATCTGACATCAAATGTACGCAAAGTCACGTTATCAACAATGCTAACACACATCTTGTTGTTATATACTGATAATAAGACCACTACAAACCTGACGATAATGTTGTTAAACAAGTAGGCAGCTAAAAATGCAGACATGTAGGAAAAAGAAGAAAACGATACTATAGGCAAAGTCATAGTTTGCTGTTTAACTAAAGTAAACCTATGTTTTTTGCTACAACTCTATTAAAATAATTTGTTTTTTTTTTTTGTTAAATTTCATGCTAATAGTATCGACAGAATTTGTTATTGTCAAATGTAGATCTAACAAATCAATGACAAATAATCTATCCTTCATATTGGCATTATTGTATTGAATATTGGATGAAAGTTGTACATTATCAGGTACTCGAAAAAGAATTTCAATATTAAAAACTGCTTGCTGGTCAAATGATTGTGTTGAATTATTCCGTGGTGTTTTCACTTTTCAATAAAAATTATGAAATAGTTGTCGCATATGTGGATAAGAAAGGATGAAGACAAGATTTGGATTCGTTCGATTTGAAATTATATTACTCTAGAATAGTTACCAGTAAATTTAGCTTTAAGCAGACTATCTGAATCAGATCAAAATTTATATGTTCAATAGCGTTTTTGTCTTGATCATAAGAAACTTTTTTTCTGTGTTGAATATTTTTCTCAATGCTGTTTCGAAAATTATCTATTTGTTTGACATTATTCGATGTTCGAATAGCAATATGTGTATGAGTATCTTCATTAGATACTTGAATTAAATGGATATGGACTGTTGAGAGAATATTCAAACTTAATTTATAAAATTCTTTTCATGTTCTGGGATAGCTTGCAAAATTTCGTAGTATTTTATCGATTTTTAATATCTTCATATGATTTACTATTTCAATCGATTGTTTTACCAAAAATTGAAATTTGATGTTGATCAATATTATCCGAAGAAAAATAACAACAATAGAATGGGTCTCTTGTAACATCAAACACACAAAAAACTATTGAATATGAATTATCATAAACAAATGATACATGTGCTTGATGATGTAGACTAATTGAAGACCAAGAATAAAATAAGTTGAATGAGTTCGTGATATTTAAAAATATTGTCTAATTTTTATTGATATTAATAATAATTGCCATTGATCATCTCAATGTAAATGATGATATATTATTTGATAAGAACAAACAAGAAAATAGAAATAATCTCAATTTCATTCGAATGTTCTCTATTTATTAGGTAACAATGTTGTTCAATCTCCATAAAACTTCTTTCAAGATATCAACTTCTTTACGATTATCAAATTAATAACTTTTTTGCATTTTCATTTATTTCTTTACATTTTATAACTTATTGATCATATTAATATTCATATATGCCTTTGTGAGAAAAGAAAATCAATGATCTTTAAAATAGATAATCTTAAAATAGTATTAAAAGAACAAATATTTTGCTGCTCTACTGCATTATTGACTAAAAAAATGTCCTAATTGATTTTTAGTCTTGTTAAGAATGAGTTTTGCGAAAGATCTGAACTTTACACACACACACACACTGTATGAATTTTCTGTTGATCTTTGTTTTTAATTTATGTATGTTTCAGTTTAAGTTACTACACATGCTTTTTTATGTAAATAAAGGTTCTTCCTTGGAAAAAACCAACTACGAAGTAAAAATGAGTAATACATGGCAACCAGCTTTAAAACATTGAGTTTAGTGTAAAAAAAATTTGTTGACATCAATACACGAAAAGCAATTAAAGCTATATTGCTATTACCAATCAAATAAAAAAGTAGGTCTGTGCACAAAAAAATACGAAGAAAAATGAAACAATTTTAGACACTAACAATGAAAATTATCCGATTAGAAAAGAAAAAGTCGTCTGTTATTATGTCTCCTCTGCATTTATAGTACTACTGATCAGTCTATGCTTAATTAAACATAGGATTATGATTCTCTCATGTATATGACAAAAGAAACCATAAATGTAAAGAAGCTTATTCCTCAACAACAACACTCAGAACTGAAATGTGAAAAAAATGGTCAAAAAAAAAGACAAGATGTACAAAGAATATCATAAACCTTTCCTCTCTATTTTAATATTTATGATCCATATCCGATAAAAAACCTCAATCATATAATATAAATGACAACTGAAAGCATCAATGTATAAAGAAGGAACTCACAAATATAAAGAGAATAGTTCGTGTTGTTTTTCATTGGAAGTTACTGCTAGCTATACAAAAAAGTATTACAAACATAAAAATGATATACCATGAACATAGTTTATATAATACTATTTTAAAACACGTTCAAATATATCTCATTTACTGAAACTGCATCAAAGACACTTTTGAGATTGTGAAACACGTCTGGACACAGTAATGAAAGTTTTTTCTAAGATAAGTTTAGATTAAATGACACAACATAAAATACTATAGATTAATCATCTTAAAGAACAATTATCTTATCATTAACTAATCCTATTTTCATTGAAAAAGAAAACATGCTAAAATGCAACATAAGTATGCTTGGACTTGAATCAATACAAAAATGAATACTTCATATATTGTTAACACTATGATGTGAACTCAAAGTTTCAATATATGAGTGATTTGTAAATCTTTGACATAATGGATGCTAAAATATGGAAATAGACCTAAACACTTTTCGAGTCTTACATTTTATTATTCTCTATGCCTGTATTATATAGCGAAAGTTTTCGAGAACTTTACTACATATGAGCCGAGAGATGGCTTACTTCAACAAAGATGTGTACCGATCGCGTGCTCTAACGGCAACTACAACTCTTTTTTGGGCAACCGCTCCGTCCTATCTCTCTTCTTATTTGTTCGCCAAGTGACCACGCCTTAATCATACCAATTATTCAATTGTATTGCTAGGAATTTTCAAAAAAGAATGTATATCAAACGCTGCAAAGTTACAAGAAAGCTTCTTTTACCCGTTGACAAACTTATTCTTTCTAAGATATTGTTTGTTAAATTTATAAATGGAATCGTGATCAATGTTGATTAAAAATTATTCTAATAAGAAATCGAACTACCTGTGAACTTAGTAAACTTTATTTTAATAAGCATAATATTTAAATTTACCTTAAACTTAAATATACACAAAGTTAACTACAAAATAATTTAAGACAGAAACAAATATCCTATTGGTTTATGTGTATCCGATTACATCTTCGCTAGTTAAATATTCTTTTATGATATCTTCACTTTATGTTGTTGTTCTTAGATAAGTATTCAGAAATAAAACATCATTTTTAAGAAATATTATAGACTAATAAATATATGAAAAAAAATTTACGAATAACAAAGTTGTCATTTACCGTTAGGCACGGTGTACATGTCTGTACTCCAGTATAAAATACATCGTAGACAACGTTATCTAGTAAAACAATGTCCTTCTAGATGTCATCATATTTTGTAAGTTTCTCCATAACAGAAAGAGATGGAAGGTTGAATTGTTAATTGACTACAGACCTCTGCGAAACGCAACTATTTCGATTAAAAATTTAGGTGAAAAGAAAAGATTTACTCATGATTTATTCACAAAGTAAGGCTTCAAAATGTCCTTGTTTCAAGCGATTACATATCATATTTTTAGACAAAAATCATTATTTTCAAAGAGACAAATCTGTAAGGTACAGCGTTCTTTTTATCACTTGTTTCCTCATAAAATTCTTTATCTTTTGAGCACATTTATATTTCTCCAACTTGAGCTCATTGGAAAAAAAAGTTCAAGTATAATGTCTTTCTACACAAAAATGATGAAGTGTTTGTCACAACGTATTGCGAATCGAAGATTATAAAAAGAAAACGATACAAACTCAAGGAAGTTCATATTGTACAATATTATGGTTTCATTTTTTTTTAGCATGCCTCATTAAAAAATACTATTTTTCCATAATTTAAAGCTACTAATTCAGAGACAGTATATAGTTCGATGATATGAATACATGTATCCAGATTGCTAGAAAATTCGTTTAGGTCTGACTTTTATCGCTTCATATCATTAATTAATTCGTCTATCAGAATGAATTATGTACATGAAACTACCACGCTCATGATTACTCAATGAATGAATATAAATGCATTCGCTATGCGTCGTTTTTTGATGAAAGATTGAACATGATTAAGGTATATCTTAAATCGAAAAATATTTGTAGATCTAAATTTTCAACTTTGACATATTTAGATAAAAAAAATTTCGAACTACAAATGCGATACTCAATACGATCAATTAGACGTCAATATTTTATTTTATCGATTAAATTAAAATTTTACGAAACTTTTTAATTAGAATAGGAATTTATTAGCAAAANTCATTTCATTTGGACGTGGAAGAAAATAATATGATGATAATTTACATTTAAATTCTTTTGCATCATCTAAATGTCCAGCACCCCATGTTGAATCCATTAAATACCAATGACGATCAATCTCAACAGCATTCCAAGCATGATCTGTTTTACTAGGAGCATCTTTTCGATCATCAAATCCATAACCTTTTGAATATCCACCGACTACTTCAGATTGCATTTCTAATTTATCACATAAATATTTATATAAATTAGCATAACCAGCACATACACCTTTTCGTGTTCGAAAAACTCCTTCAGCTGTTTGATCTTTATAATCTTTTGTGAAATATGACACAGTATCATATTCAATGTTACATGCAATCCAATAGAAAATAATCCAATGACGATCAATTAAAGATTTTCCTTTTGAAAATGTTTTAATAGTTTCAGTAAGTTGTTGAAGAGATTTTGGTCGCCATGATTCGATAGTTGCTTGATAAGAACGATTGTTAATAGCTTGTTGACGTTGTTGAATAAATAAATCGTTGAATGCATGTGGATCAGCAATTTCAATTTCAATATGATCATTTGTGTTAGTAAGCTGATGTATGAATTTATCATCTAGAGGTGTAGTTCGTTGTGTAATGATAGTATCATCGATTTGATTGTCATGATGATCATTGTAATTGTTTTCAACCCGTCGTATCCTTTGTTCGTCCACTGGCGTTACTCTTGTGAATTTACAGCCCATTTCTGAGTGTCACAAGATATACTTGTTTACATGAATGTAGAAAAACACAATTTGCGTTTTTCTTTAAGCTTTTAGTTTTGAATACTTTTTTTTCAGTGAATAAAGTAGGAAGAAGGGATGCTGTAGCAACTACGACTTCCAAAATATTTTTTATTCTATCATTTTTTTAAGTATATATCTTACTCCAATGTGGAAGAAGAGAAAACAAAAGCGACGGAAATGTTTCAAACGTATGAGCAACTTAAATTAGTTCTTTTTCTTTTGAAGCTTAATTATATGTTATGTTTGTCTGGCAAAAGAAGAGGTATGCATCAAGAGAACGATAAAATGAACAAAAATTATTTTCTATTTATAGATGAAAAACATAATGAATCAGTCAATGTCGAACTATTACAGAAAAAAGAATTCCAATATGTTACTAGAAGAAATTTTCTCACTGATTCCATATAGAAATGCGTTTACTTTTGAACAGCAACAAATACTTGTTCGGCAATTGTTATTTTTATAATAAACTTTTTATAAAATGATAAATTATGGAATCTGTCAATATTCGAAATCTTTGGCTTCTATTGACCGATACAGTTTTCTTTCCGTTTACATCATTGCCGGGATGTGGATGTGAATGAAAAGAAGAAAGACATCCATACTCACATCCTCGTTATTGGGATAATCTACTGCTAGTATGGAATAATGATGATGGACAAGAAGTTGTTTGTGTTGGTTCTTTAATTGCAGAATTAAAACAATTATCTGGTGTGTCTCTCTGTTTATGATATTCATCGAGAAATGTTATTTTAAATAATTGTTTATTTAATAAAATAAAAATTTTTGTGTTTTATTTAAGTGTTGATGAAATACAAAATTTCATTACGATTAGGTAAAGGTTTATTATGTCGACTTTCAGAAGTATTTGATTGTTGGTTTGAATCTAGTTTAATGCCATATGCATAAATTCATTATCCATATGATGGACGTAGAACACTCTGAATACATGTCTGGCTGGTTTTATTACTGAAGGTATCGATCAAACTCATGAATGGTACTATACATTATTAGTTCTTGCAATGGGTTTATTTGATCAATCACCTTTTACAAATTTAATTATTAATGGAATTATTTTATCAGGTAATGGACAACAAAAATATCGAAAAGCAAGAAAAATTATCCTGATCTTAAAAAAATGTTTGATGAATATGATGCTGATGCATTCAAGTTAAACAAATGTAAATCATAAAAAAACGATATTTTCTTTATATTAATAGACTTTATCTAATAACATCACCTGTTGTAGATGGTGAATCACTTAAATTTAAAGAAGAATGTGTTCATGATATTCTTAAAGATGTGTTTTTACATTGGTATAATACATTACGTCTTCTGATTCAATCATGTTATCAATTAAAAAATAATAAACAAGTTTTTTTTAATATTTATGATGAAAAACGTTTATATTCGTCCATGTCATTAAACCCTACTGGTAAGAATACACGGATTGTATATTATACTCAAATATAACTTGATTATACTTAGTTCATATAGAAAACCTAATGTATAACTCGAACTAGATGAAAACTGCTGATGTATTACTTAATAGAAATGCTATCCTCTCCTGAATGATGTCATATTAGATAAAGGATGTACCCAACGGATCATTTAAAAAATTTCTTGTACATAGGACACTATTCATAAACAAATTTTGATGCAATTATACATTGAGGAGATAGAGATAACTATTTTGAATAATTTTGCTTTTTATTTTAGCTTATCGTTTATATATGGTAGCGTTTCGTCTTGTGAAATACATTGATATGTTAACCAATCGGTATGCTAAATGAAACAAGAGACGTTTTAAGATAACAATATCAATACTTTTGTTTTCTTGCCTTCATAGTCATGCAAAACATTCTGAATCTAATGAATAATTCTAATTTGCATTACCGGAAGACTAAAATTAATATTCATCTTGTTTATGTTATTTAACTAAAGATAATATAATTTATTTTCTTTTAAGAATGACACAATGCTAGAAGATGTCGTGTTTCATTAAATGTTCGTTTTTATATTCTTTTAACAATGAATAAATTAAAGGCAGCACATACACTATTTCTAGCTGAATATATCTATCAAAGATTAATAAAATTAATGCCACAATGATCATCTTCATCTGAACAAAAGCTAAAGTGTTCATTTTTCAATGATTCTAAAATCACTGTTCGTTGTTATCTTTGTTTATTAATTCAAATAAAATAAAATTTTTATTTAGAAAAATATTGATAAATAATAATACTGAACGTGTTGTAGTTGCTCTACAAACAGTTATTGAATTGGGTATAATTTTGCAAGAATAACAAGTTGTTCCAATGAAAGTAAATGTGAATAATTAATTTTATATAATTATTGAAAAATTATGCTTTTTTTAGTATCTATTACCTGAATTCATTTCCGGTCATAAAGATGTATCAATAATATTCAAATAAGTTCAATCATCAGAAGATTGTATTGAACCAAATTATTTAAGATTAGGGGGAAACGCTGGTAGTAAGCATCTACTTTCTTTAATATTTAATTAATTATAAATTTATAATTTCATTAACAATTATTGATAATATACCAATTGAATCTGAAAAATGTTCATAATATTTATTGTGTTGCTAAACAAACACAATTTGAAGCTACTGTTGAACCAGGGCTATGAATTTTTTTTCTTTTTTCTTAGATTTTTATGGTTTTCTTTTATTGATAGTTTGTTGTTTTACTTGATTATATAGCTGATCCATCATTGAAAGATGAAGAACTTATTTGCACAATTACAAGTCGAGTTCAACAACTTTGAAAAAGAAATTTATTCCACTTTCGTTATGAATATAAATTATTTTATTTAAATTAAAGTAATTTCAACTGATGAAATAATTGTTTATTATTCAGCAGAGCTACAGACAATTGAAATAGATCGTGTTGCATCTGAACAACAAGATGACATTGAAAGTATTCTTCAAGAACCATTTCTTTTATTGAGTAATTTAGCAACTAAAGAAAATGCTAATGAAGTCATCAAGAAAAAACTTCCCGGAAGTTTTTTTTTCTGATTTTTAATTAAAATAAGTTCTGTTTTTTATAATTAGATGAAAGATGATGAAATGAAATTTGTCATTAGTCGAAATATAACTATTAAATCCTTTACTATTGTTTGTTGTCTCATTTTGTGGTTGATATTGTTAACATTCGATGCTCATAAGATTTTTCAGTAAAACGACAAAAATCACTCGGTTATTTCTTATTGTTAAAATATTTATTACGGAGATTGCAGAATTTTCATCACCATAACTTTGTGAACCTTAGATTCTATCGGTGAAATTAATATCAGTTGCATAGATATTTCCTTTTTCTGTTGTGATTGTAGTTGACCTAAAAGAAATATAAATAAAGTTATCATTTTTCTAAAGTTTTGCCATCGACTATAATCAAATTGACCATTAGTAGGGTGTGGATGTAAATCTACTCTTATTTGCCACCCATCCGGACATCCGCGTGCTTACAACATCCTGATGCTCGGGGGGACTTTGAGAAGCTGATTCTTGAAGCGCAACGAGACAGAGGTATGCGAGGCACGTGCAACGGTGTGGGAAGCGTGGATCGATTTTTTTCCATCTCTGTTCGATATGTAATCATTTCAATTAATAACTACACCACTTTATTCTTTATTGGACTGCGTAACGACAATTGATTGATTTTAGTAAACGACCGAAGTGTTCAAAAAAAAAATTCACAATCATATCGTTCAATGGATTGAAGATCAACATATGATGCTTTTCGACAAGAACAGCCTTCAGAATGCAATTCACTTCAGTATAATTAAATTTTTTATTTAGCGTGGAGATCCAAAGTCATGAATCGACTTTTGACACTATAAATCGATAGAACAATTTCTCATGAGATAGAAATATGTCATGAAATATTTTTCTTCCATTTAAAATCAAATCTCTTCATATGCTTCAATGTTTTAGTTAAAACAGACATAATTTTCATTGAATATTATCTTCTGGACTATTTTATGTATACTTATAAATAAATTTGGAATCTGGTAAGTTTGAATTTACAAGATTAAAATAACAGATGTGATTATATCAAGTGTTGTCTGTTATAAATATGAATTAATGATAGATCCCAATTTTAGCTAATGTCTTCATAAATCATGCCCTACAATTTTTTTAAATACTTCTTACTGATTACGTACTTATAGTACTGTCAGAATTTATAAATAGTTTTTCTACGCTACGCATGACGACGACATAAGCCATATTTATTTTGATCTTGACACATTTTCATAATTGATAGTTTTCTATAATAATCAAACACGTAAAATATAGTAGACGAATTAATAATATTTTTTTCATTTGAAAGGATTGTAATCTCATTCCGACAACACAACAACATAAAGACAATTAACTTTTCTTGTCTAAATCTCAAAAATTCTAGTCATTCTATCATAATTGATAATGATCATATTGAATACATTGAAGAAAGAAAAACAAAAGAAAAGAAATCAGAAGACAATCCTAAACATTAATAAATATAAATATCTATCAAAATAGTCATCCGTTAGATGTCGCTAATTTGCTGAAGATGAGAAACGGATTGTTCACTTTGTCGAGCGAATAAATTTGTCGTAAATAATCACATCAATTTTTTTCTTCTTCTTAAAAAGAAGGTTTATAGAAAGCAAAACTTTTTTTCTGTTTTTATTTATTTAAAAATGTCATTATTGATATCAATAGAAGAATAAGTAAAAAAGTGGACTTTCATGGAAATGTCTATGATCTTTAAAACTAAACTGATTGATTTTTTTCGCATATGATTTCTTGTATCTTATTTATGTGCTTAACAAATACAATCAATGTATCATCGTCGAACATGAACAATTCATCATTTTCGTCCAATAATAATAATAATAATAAATATGATAAAAAGGAAAATATTAACAATATTCATAATGTTATCCCCGATGACACTGAAAATGGAGCTGATGAACTAACATTAAGGTTCGAATATATGTTATTTAAAAACAAACAATAAAATAATTTGCTTTCTTTTATTCTTTTTTAAAGAAATAGTAATGCATTGGAAGTTTTATCGGAAGATCAATCAAATCTCAGTATACGCAGAAGTCGAATTGGACGACCTGTTGATTCCATATCAACCAGTATTCTTCCGACTAATACCGTTACTAATTCTCAATTGAATCTTCGTATTATTGACTTTAATGATTTATACATAGGAGACACAATTGGTGTAGGTGGTTTTGGGTAAGAATTATATTATTTTTTTTTTAAAGTTATCATAATCGAATATATTTTGTATCAAATTATAAAGTTATTATTTTCTACAAAAGTTTTTTCGTCAAACATGAAAAACTTAGAAATATTACAAGAAAAATTCTAGCATATCTCTATTCATTAGATCTTATTGAAGAATCTCTTCTCTTTATGCAAACGAGTAGATTTCATATAGTCGATTAAAAGAATTTGACGTTCTTTAAAATAAACTCAAAACTTAATCGTCGATTGAAAATCAATATGAATTAAACTATTTGTTTTACTGTTTGTTTGTTTTTTTTAGTCATGTCTTTCATGGTAAATTTGGTAATGTTGATGTAGCCATAAAGACAGCAAAATCTTTTGCATCATTTTGCTCAATTCCAATAACAAATTATGATGATACATCTGATGCTGTACAAAAAACTCTTATTGATGGTCTTTTACGTGAAGCACGTCTTTTTTCTAATCTTAAACATCGAAATATAATTCAATTATTCGGTGTTAGTCCATCATTATCAACAAAAAATCTTTATCTTGTTATGGAATATGCACATGGTGGTGCATTAAATCATCTTTTACGTAAACGTCAATCAGGTCTTTATCCAAATGTATTTATACAATATGCTAAACAAATAGCTGATGGTATGAGATATTTACATGAAGAAGCATGTGAACATATTATTCATCGAGATTTAAAATGTTCAAATAGTAAGTTAAATGAAAAATTAAGAGACATAAATTATTATATTATTATTATTATTTTGTTTAGTTCTTATTTTAGAACATATTAATGATGTTCATAATGATAGTGATCTTTTATATAAAACATTAAAAATAACAGATTTTGGACTTGCTAGAAAACAATTACAATCATCAAGTGTATCAACTGCTGGAACATTTGCTTGGATGAGTCCAGAATGTATTCGTAATACGGAATTTTCAACGAAATCAGATGTTTGGAGGTAAATTTTTAAAAATATAAATATCATAATAATCTCAGATTTACAAAAAAAAAAAAACAAGATATTTAGAATATTCAGAAGATAAGATATGTGAAACCATTGAATAAGTAACTAACGAGAGAATTTTTTCAAGTGTCAAATCACTTTTCAGATTGAGATTATGTTTACTTAATGAGTAATAATGCGGTCACGTAAAAAAAGAAATTTACTTTCGAATTCCAACTGTGCACAAACAAAGTGATTAGTTCATTGGACAAGTTGAAGCTTTACCTGTATTTTATCTCATGTATAAAAGTAAATTTTGTTCATATATTTATATATCGAGAAAGATAATAATAGAAAAGTTAAAACTTGCACAATCAACTAATCTAATTACGAACTTTGTTCATACAAAATTTGACGTTGAAACTCATATATGACCTAAGGAGGATCACANACCCATTTTTTCTGTAAAGAAAGACCACTAGCTGAACTCTAGATCCGTGCAAAAACATGAAGAATTAGTCATGTGTTTGGTAAAAATCAACGTAATATGGGGTAGGCAGTCTGTAGTTAGGTTCAAGAGCTCAATGCAAAACATAGATTCTGTTCATCATAATTCTCCTTGTACTTTAAGCAATCGAGCTGAAATTGTGTCTCTGATCTATATGCTTGACGGACTATATGCACACACATTTTCAGGTCTTCAGCATCTATTGTGGCTGAGATCCTCTAGGGGGGAGACTTTTGTCGTCTACTGTATATGGCCAATTATATCAAAATATGTTGAAAATATAGTTAAAAATATCATTGAACCCGAAATAAAAAAACAAATATCAGGTCTTTCATTTGAACAAATTAATCTAGGTGATTTTCGACCACGTTTAGACGGTATTAAAATTTATAAAAATAGTATACATTCAAATGAAATTATACTTGATATAGAATTATTTTATGGCGGTGATATACAAATTAAAATGAAATATTATAGTTTAAAAATTGGTATTAAATCATTTTATTTGCATGGTCAATTACGTCTTGTAATTAAATCTAATATATCTAAAATACCCTTTATTAGTGCATTAGAATTATTTTTTCTTCGTATACCTATTATACATTTTGATTTAACTGATATTGCTAATTTAATTGAAATACCAGGTTTATATAATTTACTGATATTATCATTTGAACGTTTATTACAAACATTTATTGTTGTACCAAATCGTTTAATTATTGCATTTTTCAATGATATTGATATAAATCAATTAAAATTTCCTAAACCTGATGCTATGTTACGTATTGATATAATTGAAGGAAAAAATTTATCGAAATATAATCATTCATTATTTAGAAAAAAATATTCAATTAATACTTTTGTTATTATTAATGTAGGACAATATAAACTTAAAACACATACACAAAAAACAAATAATCCAAAATGGTATGAAACATTTGAAATTCCTATTGAACAACCGAATATTCAACAACTTCAGGTACGTTTTTTTTTTTTGAAAATGTAGTTTTTCAACTTAAATAACGATGGATCTAACATTGATTCTAAGATGATTTAAGTTGATGTGACTTCTTGTCATAGATATGAATATTGTTCACAAAAAACAGATCTATATCATAGATATCAATGAGACTAAGATAATACTTAAAAGATAATTATTCATGACTTTTTGTTAAAACTTTAGAATCCTTTTACTGAATTGATTTACAGAATTTTGATCTGAAATCTTTCTTTAATATGAATGTAAAAATATTTATATCTATGACAAGGAGCCATAATAATGCTAAACTTCTAAGGCTTTCTCTAAAAATAAGGTCTCTAGCAAGAATGAATAACATCAGAATAAAATGCGTAAATCACCAGACGATATTACCTCGCTAGTTTTATAAAAGTTTCGATATAATTAAAGTATAAATTCCAACAAGATTCAATAATTGAGAATGTTCTCATAGCAATATCTCTTTAAATCTTCATAATACGGGTTATTGTTAACTAAAACCTAGTGACACAGTCAACGGTGGCCATGTCGAACGTCGCCCTGTTACTGACAGCCAAAGCCTTACCACTAGAACAAAAAACTGATAGCCACCATCATTTACACTATCTTTCATGATTTTTTTAAAAAACCCTGCTTTACTACCTACGATCTCCTGTCTATGCTACTATAAAAAAAAAGGAGAAAGTCTTCATTCCGAATTCATAAAGAATATAAATTTTCTACCAAGAATATTATCATCTATATATTAACTAATCAATATGTTTTGAAAGCTATTAGATATCTGTATTCAATACTGCTCTTGGTATTGATTATTATATTGGTACATTAAATATTTCTCTATATAGTATTAGAAGTAATAATAAAAATTTTGTTGATCAATGGGATGCTTGTTCACTTTAAACACACTCTGTACACTAATTGACGTGTTTAACACACGCACATCAAAGAGTGTGGGTGAGGGAATGTGTCGAAAGTGAACAAGTACCCAAAAATTATCTCGATTTAAAAAATTAACTTGTTTTCAAACATTATTTTCATCATGTATTTAAACCAACAATAATAATACGAAGAAATTATTTATCAAATAAAAATATTTTTATTAACTTACCGCTTTTGGTGACATTGTTGAAGATTTCTTTTTTGTGTGCGTGGGAGAGTGTGTGTGTGTGTGTTTAGTTTATTTCAAAGCTTAATCGATATTGTTCAAAAATATTTTATACATAGAGATATCGTCTACCGGCCGTCGTCCACAATGTATATATATATGTATGTGTGTTTATCTAAAACAATGGACTGAAAAGAGAAAAAGTTTGTAGGAGGAGAAACGAACAGAAGAATAAAAGAAGAAATGCGATGTATGTCAATAGTGTTGCTGTTAAAATCAGTAGAAGAAAAAAACAAGAGTGATTCACTTCTGATGTCACATCCTGAAACGTAATATATACCACTTAAAACTGTTAAGTTGTAATAGTAATCATAGACAGATGAACCTAGTGAATAGAATATTTCTTGAGTTATATGACCTAAGACAATGAACAAATGGGTATACAAGACGAACAAACATGATATAACACGGAGCAAGAATGACCCTCTCTTCGTGTGTCGTCGACCAGTAGATTGATTGCTCTAGCAGTAAAGGATCATGAGATATGATTTTCAAACAAAATGCACGTGCTAAAATATAAAAAATGTACAAAGTATTAAATCAATAATAGAACACTAAAGACTGTTTTAGTTTTATCATTAGAAAAAAAAAAGAGAAGGATATAGAGAATTTTTTTTCTGTCTTAGAACTTGTTTTAAGACACGCATACACATATAATTTGTCACAAATATTGCAATGTATGGCGAATAATAAAATAAAACAAAAAAAAAATGAAAAGAAAGAAAGGATAAACTATTGTGAGAGAAGTGAATATTGCAACAAATATGTAAAACATTTTTTTGGTAAGAAACTTGTTCGAAAACGTGATTGCATGTGAGAAAGAAAACTGAAGGCCATATTTTTATCATTTTTTTTCCTACATATTTAGATACTTGTTACAAATCTTTTATTCAATAGAAACATAAAAAAAAAAAAAGAAAAATGTAAATTATGTTATTATCACTAAGTTTTCTAAATACTTCTCTTACACAAGTGACAAAGCAAAATGATCTTTTTGTTAATTATTCTTTTCTCTTTTTTTCTCTTTTCAAGAGATTGATTACAGAATAAAAGTGTGCGTCATCTTGACCTACTCATACACATATAGGAATGTGAATGTAAAATTTTTATCAATGTGCAATGAATAAATAATGAATGAAATGTTATTATAAACCGATAGTATCAGTTCAATGGTATCATCGCCTCGCATTTCTCGTCTATTTTATGATTCTGTTCTTTACTTATGTGCTTTTTTTTTTTTTGTGCTCAACTATGTTTTATATTCAGGTCAATTGTATAGGTACTCTGCTAGCTCAATTTGCGTATAATTCATGTCTAACACGCGAGCAGACAGACTATCGAATTATGTCCAACACACAAATTCATCTATTCAATATTCTGCAAATATTATGTAACTATTAGTAAACTTACCCAATTACATTAATGCATATGTATAGATTAAAGAATGTTGTTGTTTTTTTACGAAAATCGAAAAAAAGCTTATGAGGTAAAAATCAAGAGAAACAAGCAGCGAAAGAAGAAATAAAATTCAAAACTCTAAATAAATAGCACTGATCTCTATTTTTTACATATATCTAGGATTAAGTATCATGCATGTTGTTTCACATTTATCTTAAGACGGTGATGGCCACTATTGCCGCCGTTTTAACAAAAGCAGTAAAGTGAACAAACAACTGAGGAGAGACAAAGAGAGTAGGAGAGTGAGAGAAGAAAAAAAAAGAGAGATAAGAAGAAAGTCAATTGTGTGTGCGAGAAAGAGAGAGAGCGAAAACAAGAGAGAAGTAGCAGACAGATACACAATAAATAGTACAGACGAACAGCGGCGTCGGTGAGGGTCCGTAAGATTTCAACCATTAATTTACTGTATCGAAAGAGAGAATTCTTCGTTTACCTATGTCGTACGTTTGAAGGGGAAAGAAAAAAAAATGAGAAGAACGAACGAACAAACGATACGCAAAATACACGTTGTTTCTTCGCCTTCGTCTTCTTCTAATGAGGTCGAATATGAAAGAATGGATCTGTTGTGTGTATATATGTATATGATGATAACGTGTCAACTTTGTACATTTTTATCTTTCTATTCGAATATTTAAGTTAAAAAAAAAAGAATTCGAATGTATAATAAATGGTATCGATCATACTAATTTATTCAGTGTCGTCTGCGATGAAAAATGAGACAAAAGAAAAAATAATGAATGACCGATCTTGAGGACAGACAGAAAAAACAAAGATGAAGACATAAAAATGTATTGAGTTGGCTCTTGTCGCGACTTGAGACGGACGTATATTCATATGCCTTGGAGGTGTCAACATAATAAAATAGGTATAAATGAAAAAAAAAGTATTTTTGACATCTATTAAAAAAAGTCATATTCAAGTGAATGATTTACTGAAATAAGTGTGAATGATTTAATGAATAGAAAACAAAGCAAAAAATCAAACCTGAAAATAGCAACTGCGTTTTTATTTGAAAATTGATAATTTTATGCTTATCTTTTCAATATAAATGTTATGACGTATATTGATAAAAATAAACTGAAGAAAGCATGAGCGAATTGATGAATGATTTGTTTTTTACTTACCTTGATGACTCATATAAACTTCTGTATATATCCATCAAAAGATTCAACCAATCAAAATTGGATTATTGGAGGCTATATCAAGTCATTCATGTCGTTGAATTTTTCTTATTATAATTTAAAATTATTTTATCGTATTTAATTAAATATTTCATTTTATGAAAAATCTCAAGTGTTTTAAAGTATTATTGAATTATTTAAATAAGAAGATTAAATAAAAAGACAAAATGTTCTTTCACTAAGAAAATTAGAGTTCAGGAAATGGTTTTTGATCGCTCGAAGGCTTTATTCTTTTAAAGAAGTTTTTAAAGATCAAGTAATGTATGTAATAAGCAATATTTTAGGTTGAAATGAAAGGAAAATAAATTCATTTTGTTCATTTATTGTCGCGAGGATAGACTCGATCAAAGCTTAGAAATCGATAATTCTATAATATATTAATCAGAAGGAAATTCACCGTGACTCGCTCCCTTTTAGAACAAGTGACCTGCCGCCGGACTCCCATTCGCAAGGCTTGCTATAATCCTATTCACCTCACAACGACATTGCCCGCTTATCTTTATCTCATTTTCTGCTACAGAAAAGAAAATGATATTTCACAATCCAGTTTCTACTCAAAGTTACCACGAAGCTGTAGAAAATTGGCAGATAGTTGAACATTCTGGAAGGGAAAGCTCCCATGCCTCTCGTAATCGAGAATCCTGATTATTAATTTTAATTGTTTTTCTCAAATCAAAATAGTACACATTATGAGAGTGTAAAGAGTGGGACTTATATGAAAACAATAAAAAGTAACAGACCACAATGAATTATGTCATGTTTTTGAGTCTTTTGTTATTTCATTGAATATAAATTACATCTAAATTGAGATCATGTAAGTTTGGTTCAATGAATCTCAGCACTAGTAAAAACAAAATAGACAGATGCATGGTTTTGTTTACCTACCTAACTAAGTAGTTATTGCACTTCAATGTATGATTACATAAAAAAAAACTTACGTTGATGATTTTGAATTAAAATCGAAAACTTGACGAGCACGTTTGATTGTTGATTGAGAATGGCATTCAAAAACTATATTCGGATTCAATTTGATTTTCGATTGTTATGTTTTAAAAATGGTATAAAAATGTTTCGCTGAAGAATAAACAGTTTGTTATTGTATAAAGCTGCTGTCTATGTATAAGATCCACACTTCTGAAAATATTAAAATCTTGTTTTGGCAACTTGCCAAATCTTTTCTAATTTGTTTTCCATTTGACGGTAGCAAAAACAAACTTTGCTCCATAGCTGGTGATTGAATATTCGATTATGTTTGGCGAGTTGCAGATAATTTTCTTTTGCTGAATGATTTTTTGTACATCAACTTGATGAACTTAATCATAGTTATTCTTTCATCAACTACGATATGAAAATAAAAAAGACTAGTTTTTATTCATTATATAATGCAAATGGAATTCATGAATGATCTCTTTTTCCCATGTTAAGAAGTCAATAGAGTCAGAAACTATGGTAGATTCAGTAAAAGATACATTTTCTATATATTACATGATAATAAAATAAAAGGCAATGGCTGCTAGGTTGATAATCTAAGATGAAATAATTTCTGTGTCATAATAAATACAAAGAACAATATTAATTTCGTAAAAGTGCAAATTGACAGTCTATTTATGATATATTTTGATAAAATAATAATTAAAGAAAAAGTTATTCGTATACAAAATAATATTCTTGTCGATTTATTAAAGCATATTGAGCAGAAAGGACGAATTCTATTTCATGAACTAGATGTTGGCTCAGATACTATAGATATACTGTTCAAAACGTTAATCTATTTGTTGAATTTTATATAGAACGATTGAGTCAAATATATATACATTTTTCTTATATTCCTTAGTGGGTTTGTGGCTGTTGGATAAAAACATGTCTACATCGGCATCCCTTTCTTAATTATTTCCTACGTAACTCACAGCTCTCTGCACAGAGTCTTTTTTTCAAAATGATATAGTCATATTTCAAAAGCGCCACAAACCGTAAGGATAATGACTAATTTTTTTTAATATGTAATTACCTTTTCTATGTAGTTGATATTCATATCGATTTATCAATTAACTTTTTTTGTCTCCTTTTTTGTATATTTTAATATACGACTGTGAAAATGACTGATGATATAAGGCTCATTGATAATCTTTCTTTTTTCGTCTTACTATTATATAATGTCCAGGGAGATATTTTTCTGATGAGGCTTGTACGATAAAGAGAAAAGCGTCCATTTAAATGAAAATTTTCATTATTATCGGAAAAAAATTTGTAACGTACTTCTCTAGCTTAAAACAAATATCTTCTGATTTTTTACGGTAAATCTATTGACTTCTGAAATCTGGATTTGGTAAGCCTGAGCTTGAAGTTATTAGAAAATTATAATATTCCAAAATAATTTTCTCGATCAGTACACCGTTGTTTTATATGATAGACTATCTCGTGTGTGTTGATAAAACTGTTTGTATTGACTAACATTTGTTTGATGTATATGAGAACAAATTTGAGATCGGCTTAGTTGTTTATGATCATAAAATGTAACAACTTTTTTTTTTTGTTGGCAATAAGAAAATAGAATTCAACAAACCAATCTCTTGTCTAATGAACGCCTGTCTCGCTTTTTACTAACAGTTTGTTTATTCGAAAACAACAAAATAGTTAGCAACCTGGTCTTGATAATTATGAAATGACAGGATTGACTTTCATCACAAGAAAATATTGAGTATTCAGAATATTACATAATTTAAAAGTGCAACGTCGATTGATAACAATAGTTTTGCCATTGTTCAATAATATGTCGATTTACTAGAATAAAACATAATCAAATGCAGAATAAGAATGAGAATTACTTCCAATCGATTGACGCTACACTTATTCTAAAATAAGTGTATAGTTTATTGTATATTAATGGAAGATGACGCAAATGTGTGATTCCATGCTCTTATCAATTTATACATTATTTTTTATTGAAGCAGATTGGCAAGCAATCGTTTAAGGAGCAAGGAAAGATTCCACGATAGCACCGACCTACGTGACCGCCGTGAAAATTTTAATTTTTGATTTTATTGTTTTAAATAATAGGTGATCATTAGAAACCTCTAAATCCAGAGAATCAATTTTTTTGATTAGACTGAAAATGTCTAAGTATACAAGTGACACAATTCTTAAAGTTTAGTCAAAGAAATAGTCTTGTATATGATATCATTGATACTTTGGTTTTTTCTTTGTGTTCGCTCATTGACTGTAGGGTTTTTTTAAGATTTTGTTCTCTTTTTGAGAAAATTGCATTTTTCTCGATGTTACTGGCAAAAACATACAAAAATGTTAAAGTTGTGCTCATATTTGGCAGTTTATATCATTATTATAGCCTTTCATAATAGTAAAATAAATAGCATATTTCGGAATTACTGTAAAAAAAACTACACGGAATTACACATAGTTTGGAAAACCTTATTTTTTTACAACAAATCGACAACAGGGCGGACACGGGCAAATTTTTTGAATAAAATGATGAGGGATAGTACAGTTTGATGTATTTTTTTTTGTGCTGATCCATAGCATCGTATTTATTTTGTTTTAAAATAATCTCATGGCAATGGGAACCGTTATGAATGTTGTTCTTTCTTATTGAAAAATAATAAATAGCAGAATGATTTGAACTTCGTTGCCCCTTAACGATATAATTTATTTTTAAATGCATAATTTTATAGCGCTCTTCGTAGAGAATGAAAAACTTCATAACATATACAGAATTCAACTTGGAGCTCTCTGATTACGAATCGTGACATGAGATTCATTGTTGTCAAGTGGAGATTTTAGATTCATCACAAAGGGCATTTTTCATTCATGTTGAATTTATAAACTTTGAGTCAACTTGGACAGATTTGCTAAACTAAAAAATGAGTGCAAATTTCACAGGATACTCTTTTTTATTGTTTTTCTTTCCTAAGGATATCGTAATGATAAAAAGTCAGTGTTGACTAGCTGTTCAAAGAAAGGATATTGGAAGCTAACATTTTGTAGTTAGTGATTTTAGACATTGACACTGAATGCACGAAAAAGAAAAAAAAATGTTTTTTTTTTTCAAGTGCTTTGTTTAGAGGATCTGGACTACAATCAAGCTTCAGATCAAAGTTTTGAAATTTAGATTTTATTGAAAAGTTGAGGCCCTAGAGGAGAAAAATCATTAGAAATTTAGCATTTCGATAAAAACTCCATAGATACGTGAATCCTTTGGATTATATCATGTGTGTATGGTGTGCTACTATTTGATGAAATATGCGTTTAGCAACTATAGATCAACTTGGAAAATGCTCTGTCAAGAGTAGTTTTTTCAATAATCGGACCAGATTTCATTCTCATGTCGAAATCAATAATAATACATCAAAACAATTCTTTCCAATATTTTCCTTAAGAATATCGACTTTGAATAGTCCATAGTCGTTGGTAAAAAATCAGCCTATTCTGTCAAACTATGACGGAGATATTCAACTTTTTTTTCGGTTAACTGACTTTTGAGCCACCCTTTATCTATATTTTGTTTATATTTCAGAATCATTTTAAAGTATATTTGTTTAATTACAGTACACTGAATACATTAGAGAGTGGTTTAATGATTTTATTTTCTGATAAATGATCCCTTTCATTTTTTCATGATTCTTCTTTTTTTTCTGCATACAACTGTTGACCTTTTTTTTCGCAGCTGTATCAATGGCGCTCATGCATGTGTGTATGTATCAGGATCGTTGCTTTCTTTGGCTGGTGAGAATAGAAGTGAAATCTTTTTCTTGTAGCTACTTGTATATCATTGTACGCACGATGAATATCAAGATGTGATCATGTCAACAGCCTGTGATATATATAGTGCGGAACACGTAGCTAGATCAACCTCAGTAGGTCTAATTCTGATGAACGAGTGTGAAACCCGGTTAAACACTTTCTGCCGTATTCTGATTATTTGCGTTGTTTATCCTTGGTGTCCGGTTACCGCGTTCGGTAACACGGGCACTGCTACAACGACACTTCCTCGTCAACAACATTGGTTCTCCAACGAAACTCAATAGAACTTTTGTTGACCTATGGTATCCTGCTATTTTACTGATCAATTTTTCTCACTGCATTCTTATTTTTACTTCTATACTTGTACTTTTTTGACAATCTCATAAACTTATAATAAGACTGATTATAGACTCGAAATTGATTTCTTTTTACACCGACTTTTATATCTCTCACTGATTTATAACCATTTTAGTTGGTTTTTGTTATTTATCAGTCTGTAACTTTTTCAAAAGTCATTGTGAATTTTTATTAGAGCAGATATTGTTGAGGAACAAATATCGACGGAGCAGCTGTCGTAAACACGTCTTTCATGGAATCATTGAATTCATGCTATCAGAAACGATCGAGTCGAACTATCAGTATCCACTCTATCAGATCTCAGTATGAAGCACGACTCTGAACTCCTTCAACTTCGTTCGGTCTAGCAAAATTGATCTCACATGATGAGATAATAACATTTCTATGAGCCGTAGTATTGTGTATCATAATTGGTTTAACGGTGTAGGAACAGCGTAGGGATGTTGGCGAGTTGATCCGTTTTCATGCAACTCGCGGGCGAGTTGGACCTCTGACGGGTCACGGGTTACATGTTTTCGCGGGTCGGGTTATATCTTTCCCCTGAGATACGAATATAAACATAAAATTTGATTTTTCACACGACAGCATTTTCAATATTCGTATATCACTACAGAATCAACTGGAAAAGTAGAGACTTTTACAATGAACTAGATCCATTTAGAGCATTATTTGTGCAAAGTCGTAAGTCGAAACTTGAAAGTCAATTTTCAAAGTGATCTTAGGGGACATATAGGTTAATGTGGTCAAATTCAGTAAAAATTCGATTTTGTAAGAACGAAGGTTGTGAAAACAAAATAATTCTATACCGACTGTTTGACTCTCTTCGTTTTTTCGGCACCCTATCATTTCGTCCCCTTACACTACGTCCCATTCATTTCGTCCCTCACTCATTTCGTCCCTTTTCATTTCGTCCCATACACTTCGTCCCAAACTCGATTGCCCGATACACTATGTCCCTCTACAGTTTGTCCCTACTTCTTCTTCGATGTGATTAGCTAAGGGTGAGGTGTGGGTGTCTCTCTTTGGTTAACAATCATACTAACACCCACAATCACACTTACCCCACACCCACTTACACCCACCCACATCCACACCCACCCACACCCGCACCCACACCCGACACACCCACACACCCACACCCATACCCATACCCACACCCACCCTGTGTCCAAAGCATCATATATTCAGGCAAATAATAAATTCATTAAACGAATATAATTTTACATGAAGGACATTTCACCTCAGGGACATTTTTTCAGAGGACATTTTACCTTAGGGACATTTTTCAAAGGACAAAAAGTTTGAGGACATTTGATCTCGGGGACGAAAAACGAGGGACATTTCGTAAAGGACATTTTTTCAAGGACATTCTTGACTGTTACCATATTTTTAATTACCAATATCTAAGCATTGATCAATTTTATCATTTAATTTATCATGAATACGATCTTCTACTAGACTACGAATATCCTATAGAGAAAAAGAAAAACATTCAAGATCTTGAATGATCTATTGAAAATTACTTTAAGCATTGATGCACCTTGTAGTCGAAGTCCAATTTGTTTTGTACTACCACTAGAAAAAATAATAATTACATGTTAGAGTATTCAATTCTAACTTTGTTTTCCAGATAGTAATTTACAGTAATAGATTTAAGAAAGTGAAGGCAATAGAGTTGATAGTTCTTGTTTTCGAAAATTTTTTTTTTCCAAGGAAAAATAAACCGATACCACATTTTAATGGATTTCAAAATAAGTTATTGAAAAGTAGTTCATTCATTTTTCAGCCTTTTAAAGGGTGACTACGGCAATTCGAAAACATTAAGTTTCAATCAATTTTTCAGAGGTGCGAAAATTATGTTTTGACGAATAAAATTGACGTTTTTTTTGTATAGATTTGAAGGCAAAATTGTACTCAAAACAAAATTGATATAAGAATCAACAGCTTCAGAAATGATTGAAGCTCACTTCTGATTAAAAAAATAAAAGAAACAAATCTGATCGACATTCAATACTCACTGTACTAGAGCAACAATGTAATCTTCTAAATAAGGCATTGAGTTTTCTAAATGTATTGTATTAATACAAATTTGAACAAGCTAAAAAAAAAAAAAGTTAACTAAAGTCAATTTATTATCTCAAATTGTTATGAATTTACTTGTGAAAAATTAAGTTGTGATTCTGATTCAGCAGCTGTTAAATCTACTAAAGCACTTTTAAGAGTTTTTGTTAATAATAAATTTGATGGTTTTCGAATCATATCATCTATTTCAGTTTTACTAAAAAACATTAAAAAAAGTACAAACATTTATCCTGAAATATAAATTCTTATTATATTGTTTACCTAACATTAAGACCTTTAGCGAATTTTGCACAAACTGCTGCAAAATCTTTTATTTCTAAAAATACTTTTGGTACTGATTCACTATATGGTAATGAACGTGGATATGGTAACTAAAAAATAAAAACAAATTTTTCATTAAACAGAAAAGAAAATCTACTATTCTAATATAAAACCCTTTCAGCTGCTTCAATTCTCAATGGAAACTGTCTTAAAAGCAGTTGATATTGTGTTTCATCTTCAATAACCATTTGTATATAATTATCTTTTCTAAGGATTTCTTTAAATTTTTGACCCCATTGTGCTAATAATAATTGTTGATAACTTTCTCTATAAAATAAAAACAGAAATAGAAAAATTACGTACTGGAAACAATTTCACCAGATTCAATGATCTATCTTGAACTAAGATATCATGTGATTTCGTAGAGTAATTTTCAGTTCATCATTGTGCAAGTTTTGTTTTTAAACTTACTTCAAAGCAGTTATAGATGCTCTTCAGCTTTTATTAATCAATAGTCTTCTCTGTTACTTTCTTCATGTTTAAAAAATGATGTCTTCTATGAGATCTAGGTCATTTTTAACTTGCAAGATTGTTCCCTAGAAAAAACTTTTTCTTTCTTAAACTAGAGTTTCATGTATAAATCAAACTTGGATACTCGGAAAAGAAAACGAACCATTTGTCAGTATGAAGAAAGTAACGAGGAAAAGTATTGATTATAGAATAGTGAAGAGCCTCAATAACTGTATCAAATCGAGTTTAAGAACAAAATTTGCATAAGTTTATCTTAGAATATCTTAGTGGCACAACTTTAAGGATTATAATCAGTATATGGATCCTTAGCACAGCAACATTCTGATAAAATTTGATTTCTTATACAGCATCCGATGCATCGCACATTGCTCGACAATTTCACATAGACGATACTCTAGTTCAAGATAGATCACCAAACTCGTCAAAGTATTTTCATACGAACCTTAATTCCATTAAAACATCTAATAAAGGCGTAACTGGAAAACCAGATTCTTTAATAGCAGCACAAAAAAGTACGACAACAATTTTCATATCAAGCATTAATTCTGGATTATATGATGTTGACTAAAACGAAACAATTAAAAAAAATCTTATGAAATATTTATTTTTTTTCCTATGTATGAAAAGAAAACAAACAATTGAGCAGCTAAATTTCAAATTTGTTTTTTTTTTCTACCGTTAAATTACCCCGCCGGTAGAAATCGGTTGTAAACAAAAATCCTATTGATGTATATGCATGATAGAACAATATATGAAATATCTGAAGAGAAAACAAACTAACCACTGCTCGTCTAAGTACAGCTAATAATTGTTGTGTTGCACGTTCACTTAATTCATAATAAAATCTTTGATCAATTAAACCTTCAGTTGTATTCATGACATGATCTTCAACAATAAAAAAACCTGTTACACGTTGTAAATATTTTTTAAAAGCATCAAATGATTCATGCATTTTAGGTGGTACATCCATAATAACAGGTGCTTGTTTTTGTTTTTCACGTTGATAATGTTTTGAAAATTCTTCTTTACAATTAAGAAATAAATTTATATGAAGACTTTTATATATGGGAGAAAAATCAATTGTTTCAGTTATATTCATATTTATTAAAGCTAAATCAGCTGATCCTTCTGGTTGTTGCTGTTGTTGATCTTTTTTTCGATCTTCTTCTAACATATAATAACGTCGATCGATATCAAGACGAGCAGCTGCCTAAATGAAATAGAGACAAACAATAAGAAATAAACTAGCGATATTTTAATAGAAGAATTAATTTCGTTTAATTGTAGTATCTCATTCAAAACAAGAAACGAAGAGAAGTTATTAAAGTGAATTCTTTATTATCAAAAAAAGTTATTCAAAAAGTATAGATAATATCTATACACATTTTCTTGATTATATCCTTCATGACGCATTCGTAGAAATATGTAGGGTAGTGTAAAGGTTGGAAAATTTTTCTTCAGTCAGAATACAGAGTACAAAGAAAACTTGACCATACACATTTCTACTCATTCGATGCTTTACTCAAAAAAATCTGTTAGAATACGATTCTGAACATTATATTGTCATATGGATACTGGTAATCAACGAGTAGTGCAATTGAAAACAGATGAAGATCACAATTAGAAATGTGCGCGATCAGTTTTAGTTCCAGCCCCGAGGCTATGCATACCGAAACTAAAAATCATAGTTAAATTAACCTATAATTTTTAGAAAATTATGTTATGCCCAAAAAAATGACTGAATTAATCAAAATATGACTACTTAGGAATTTTTCTTAGGCTTAATACGGATAGATTAGTCAACAACGTTAGTATGATAATATAAAAAGAATGAAATCATTTTTCTCTAGGGAAATTTTTTCTTCTATTAAAAATAACTTATTCTGATTATTAAAATATAAATATTGAACATACTTGTGCAAAAGCACTTTTTCCAATTTTGTCTGCATGTGTTGCAACATTTTCAAGAAAATTTTTCAATTCATTATATGATTCATTACGAATTTGATTACGAAATTTTGCAATATTATGTTGAATAAGTTCTGACCAACGATGTTCTTTTACAAGAACGAGATGTTTAGTTTCTAATTGTTCAAGTAATTTCAATGCTGGATAAAGTCTATTATAAAACAGTAATAAAACTTGAAAATTAAAGAATAAAAAAGTCAAATCTTACTTTTTTTCTTCCATACATTCTTGTAGTTTTCGATATGTTTCGAAAACTAAAAATCACAAAGAAATATTTTAAATTGATATTCAAAACAGATGCTTTTAAGATTTAAATTTCATGATAATGTTTATACCACTGAATCAAAGCATTCCAAAAGTTTCTCATTACCTTATGCTATTATTTAGAAACTAGAAAAAATATTAGACATGAATGTCTAAATCAGAACATCGAATCTGCCGGTTTATATAAGTGATGTGAAAAAACACGCTATTATGATAGTTTTATTTCAGGATAGAAACGGTGACAACAATCTGAAACATTCACAATAGAATATTCTCCTAGAAGATACGCTATCTTCGAATCAATTAACTAAGAGCACGAACTCTTTTCACGATAATAAAAGCTCATTTGAATCTACATAATACACATAGTGTCGATTGAACAATTGAAAGAGTTCTCTCGTTACATGAATTTCTAGTTGGATCAAGTTAGAGTACAGCATTCAAGATTTTTCAAAGACGAATTAAAACAAAGTATTAGTACTTAGTAACTCTAAATTTAGCAGTAAAATATCATCTGAAGATTTGTATATCGATAAAAATAAGTTTCGATAAAATATTTGTTTTATCTTCTAATCATACCTGGAAATGCTTGTGATAAAGCTTCAATAGTTTGTTGTATATTACTCTGCCGATGATATTCTTTAATTAAAGATGCAGTTTTTTTTGCTAAACTTTGTCCAGCTTCTTGCATCATTTGATTATTTTTCTCAAGTTCCTTCTACGAAAATAGAACATATGTATTCTTTTGTCAAACTAATAGCTAAATTAAAATAATAGATTACCTTCATACTTGTTGTATCTTTTCGTACTTGTAATAATTCATGAAATGATTTAACAAAACTTTGATATTGAAAATTGCATAATTTTTCTATTTCGTTATCATAATATTTAACACGTTCATCAAGTTTTCTTAAAAATGTTCCAGCATCATTTCGAACAAAAACCGAACTAACAAAAAGCAAAGCACACACTATAAAATTCTTTTATAATTATCTTCTATATAAACATACCGAACAGATGATGTTGCTTGTGATCCATCAGATATTTCAAGTTGTTTTATAATATTATCCAAATATGTATCTGATACTTGCCCATCATTTTGTTCTCCATTCATCATTTTTAATTTAAAAGACAACAAAAATCTTAAATAACCACAAAAAAATCGACATTTCTATCATATAAGATATTTCTTTTTTTTTTCATTTCAATCATAAAAGAGACAAATAGAATGATGTGTAAATTAAAAAAAAGAGACAAGACATTGGCATAATGAACCGAAAAAAAACGTTTTTTTTTTGTAAATGAACAAATGAAGCAGAGAAGAATAAACGAACAGTCACCATGGTGGAATATTTCGATATAATATTAAATTAATTTATTTGTTTAAGCATTTTTAAGTTCAGAACCAATTTTATAAGCAGTAATTTTTGTCCAATCAATTTTAGCTTTTGTTATTGGTAATTGACGACGTAATGCTTTAAATGTTGAATCAGACATAACTTGATAATTTTCATTAACAGCTTGCTAAATACGAAAAAAGAAAAATAATAATTCATTATTGTTTTTTCTTATGTTTATTTACTTGATAATTATCTTCAGCTTGACGAATAATTCGAATGATTTCTTTCGCAGTCGTTGTTTCATCCTATCAAAAAAAAACTTGTTTGTTTTTTAAACCTTTTTTATTTTAAAATATAAATTTTACTTGAAGTTGTATTGTTTCTGTTATATCTTTACTACTGACTAGTTGTACATTGCCATCTTCAAAATAATGCACCTAAATTGAAAATTGTGAATTTGAGTTAAGGTACTCTGAAAATCGCCTCAGATTTTCAGAATATGTTCGGACTGTAGGAGATAGATTATTGTGGAACTTTTAGCCCGATACCATGATTTTTCTATAAGATATTCATTGGACAAGAGTTAAAAATAACCCGAAATTTTCTCTAGGTCTTCATATAATATATTTGATCTTTCTTTTTTCTAATCGGAATTGTATAGTTATCCCAAAGATATGACAGAAAATACCAGGTTGTTACTAATATATACTGAAAATTTTATGTGATGTGAGTATATCCGACTCAATCAATATTAAGGTGGAATCTTAAATATTTTTTTAATTTTTACCTGAGCTTTAACTAAGCCAGTTAATTCACATTCGGTTTGTCCTTTACTAAAAGCTAATGACCATTTCGAACGCCATCGTCCATTCCTATAGATAAAGCAAAACTTAATCCATTATACTGGAAAAACTTTCATTATTTATACCAAAAATTTTTCGGTTCAAATTTATGACTTTCAATAAAAGCCGCTAATGTAATTGTATCCACATCACTTCCACCTATAACTGTACCAGCACCATATGGATAACGTTCTTTAATATATTCTGTAAGTTCTTTTTCAAATGCTAAACGCCATGGTTCAGAATGTTCATCAGGTGGATGTGGTTGATATTCCGATGCTTCACGACGTAAATGATCAAATCTTAATTTTATAATTTGAATTAATATATAAAAAAATATATTGATTAATCAAATAAATACACACTTAAAACTTTGTCGTGTACGAGGATCATAAAATCGGCCATCACCTAAATCATTCGCTTCAGTTACAAGACATTCTTCTTCTGCACCTTGAACTTTTGTTGGAATATATTGATCACGATTATATTCAGCAAAAGCTCTTAAATACAAAATTATTTATTTGGAAATCACTCATGACAATGGATAGTTTTTTTTACAAAAATCAAAAAAATTTAATAAAAATAGTCAGTGATATAAAGTTTTTATAATTTGGAAGTGTTTTTTGTTGATTATGAAAAATACTGAATAAATGCCATACTTTGTACCTGTCGTGACAGGTTTCATTTATGCAATAATGATGTTTATGTATTAACTGAATTTAAACAAAATGAAAACTTGAAAGGTATATAATACTACTTGTATAATGACTTCATTGCTTAAGTTTCATATACACAATGATGTCAAAAAAAAGAATCCATTAGCTTTAGAATTGTAATCAGAAGTAGACATGCATCGATCTCGGTTTCTGACTCAGTGTTCACAGGACGAGATGGTCTGCATTAGAATTCAAGCCTGTCTGAACATTGTTGGCTTACTTTTAGCGTGCTTGCAGACCTTTGGTTTATACATGACTTCTGGTGCTTTGCCAAAATATTTTCAGTGAGACGAAATACAAAAAATGAAATTGCATTTTTCTTATATTTACTCTGGAAGCTATAATATAAAAATTTCTTAATATCTTAAGAACGATGCGCTACGATTTATAGTCTATGGTAATCAATAATAACATAAGCATAATAAACAAAACAAGTTCTTATGAAAGTCTTTAAAGAATGTTTTACTTCACTTGAATCTACCTTGTTCATTATTCTTTATTCATTGTAAATCAAATATGAAATCATATCCTTGTACTTTAGACACAATCATTATATTCTTATGTCAAGATAATAATTTTAAATTATATTGACATAGATAAAAAAAAATTCAAGAAGTTTAACGTACATTAAAATGATTTCTCTAATCAAATTCCTTAAATGTCTTACTTAGAAACCGAACGTCGCACTAATCCATCGTCATTTAATAAGGTTCGAACATCTATAAAGACACAAAAAACAAATTGTTTTTTTTCCCTAAAATTAATTTATCTAATTATTTTCTAACCATTAAAAACTTCATTGAATTCACCCGGTGGTGCATGGGCAATGAAACGTCGAGCTATAGTTGCTTTTTCTTCATCTGTTAATGTTTCACCCATAATTTTGTTTGTTCTTTTTCAATTAAAAACAAAAAAAACCCGGAACCTTATCTGAAAAACAAAATAACAAAACATTAATGATCATCTTTTTCTTTAATTGCATATGATTTTTGAACGATATCTTCATAAGATTTTCTTAATTCAATTAAAATAACACTTAATGCAATACTGACATTTAAACTTTCAACATCATTTAATAATGGTATATAAACCATTTTACCATTATGTTCAATTATTAATTTTCGTGCTTGAAGACTTGTGCCTTCTGTTTCACCACCAACAATTATTGTTGAATGATCAGTTGATTTTATATTTAAAAATGCTTTCCATAATGATTGATAATCAATAGGAATATTTTTATATAATGGTAAAAAACGATTATTTGATACTAAATATGAACGATCTTCTGTTGTATTTGTACGTTTCATTTGTTTTCGTTTTTCAAGCATTTCTTCAAACATTTTTTTTGATGCTAAATATATATTAAAAATTTCATTAGTCTTCTTTTCAAAGAGCAATGAATCTGACTATTGTTTGAATAACTTCTGCTAGAAATAACATAGAGACCTGCGCTTTTCACCATTCAACATAGAAGACTCTGGATCATCCATACATGCTCAAATCCAATTGATCAACGCACTGACTAATCAGATCAGTTATCTGTGGAGATTTTGAAAAGTTCTTCTGAAGCAATCTTAGGTCTCTATCAAAAGTTATGCAAAAAAAAACAATCAGACACATTGCTTTTTGAAAATGACATTAGTTAATAATTTTAATATCTTACGATTATTATCGTCATTAGTTGTATCTTTTTCTTCGTATGAATATTTATGATCAGCAAGATAAACGTTACTATTTTCTGGCAGATGATTAGTAATCGTTTCCCATCCAATATCATTTATCATAGGTAAACGAAAATGTGAACCCATACCAGAACGAATTACTTTTGGATCCCAAATATCTACACAACCTTTTATTGCAATTAAACGATCACAACCAACAGCAGCACATGTTCGAATTATTGTTCCCATATTTCCTGGATCACGTACATTATCACAAATAACAGTTATTGGAAGAGTTATACGTTCTTTAAATAAACAATGATCTGGTTGTGGCATTGCAAATATTGCTAAAAATTTAATCTATGAGTTCAATTTCTTGTTTTTATGAATCATTTTTACATACCCATAACACCTTGACTTGTTTGTACATCTGACCAAGTACGAAATGCACTTGATGAAATTTGATAAGCAGTAAAATTGAGATCTGTTGGTGAAAAATCAATTGTCTAAAAATGAAACAATGAAAACATTTAATATTTATTAATGCTTCATTGTCTATAATTAAATGATCAAGTCATATAAAATGATAAGTTTCTATTTTCAGGAAATTCAAATGAAATCCCTATGCAATAAATTTTATACAAAGAATATAAAAATGATGTGCATAGTTTGGAATTCAATCTAATACCAAACTAGAGATGGTATTTCTTCAATTTAATGTATAAAAATAAATTTTAGTTACATGAAAGCGCAGGAGGCCAGCCAAAATATTTCTGCTAAAGTTGATGAAATTTGAATGAGGAGAAGAGACTTGAACGTCTTTTGGGAAATCAGTGAGCAAAACAATAAAATATTGAAACTCCACTGAAAAAAACTGAAAACTTTTCAAAATAGGCAAAGACTACTTCTGGAGACATGATTAGATGAATATTAAAAATCATGAACTAATCTATAATGAGAAAAGAAGAATTGTTCTTGAATGAAAGATACTGATCATGTTCATTGAAGTTTATGAAAACATCTTATTCTTATTTAAAGAAAAACATTCGTCTATTTATCTGTGCAAGATAGAATTGAACTGTCTTAAAGTTTAAATGATCTAAATTTTTAGAACATGATATTTACATCTAAAATTTGTCGATCAGTAACAAATATTGTTAAAAGATCAGCACCGGCTTGTATTGCATCAGCTATTAGACGTTTTCCTTCAAGTAAAACATAACCTTTTTTATAACGTTCTTGACGATTTTTTGCTTTCATTATACGATTACTAAGACAAACAAAAAACAATAAGAATATTATACTTCAAATAAATAGATTCTTGTTTTTACGTAAATCGAATATCATTATCTTTTAAATGAATTATATTTTGTAAAGGATTTTTAATTGTTGCTAATTGATCAAGAAAAGCTGGATCTTTTGACATATCTTCACGAAGTGGATCAAAACGATTGTATATGGCTTCCAAGTTTTCATCCGAAAGTATCTTGGCTAAATATATATATATATATGTATTCCATATAAATTCATGAGAAGAATTTAATTAAAATCCATCATGCCTGCTTTATCACCCAATTTTTTGACTTGTGCTATTGGATTAACAGTATTTTTTCGTTGTTTTGTATTTGTATCTTTTTGTATGGGTTTTCGTGAACGAATTTCGGTTGCATGACGAATGATTATTGACGAACAATGATTTGGACTTATAAGTCTTGTTTGTTTTGATGATATTAAATGAGATAATAGAACACGATTATATCGAAAGAGAGACATTTTACATATATGTATATATCTGAAATGATCAAAATGAAAAATAAATAAATAACAAAAAAATGTGATTCATCCAACAATATGAAGAATGAATGAATATATATACATTCAGGTAAAATGAATGGACGAATAGAAACAAAATTATATCCTATATAATCATGACTGCTCTCTCCCTCTGTCGAAAACTGAAAGTAAATAGTAAAAAAAAAAAAGAAGATGATATGGTTGTTTTCTTATCATAAAGATATCTATTAATAGTGATAAAAAAGAAAGAATTTTATCAAGAATTATTTTCGATGTTTGTTGTCTGTCGAGTTGAAGTTAAGTAGAAATTTTGGAAAAAGTTGGTTTCGTAAATTATTCTATCCAGTGGGAGCATGATAACTCAAGAAGACGACTAAAAGATTTTTGCTAAGGTTAACCAGATTTTAGGAAAGTTTGAACGTCTTTGTTTTTGGAATTGGTTAGCAAAAAAAAAATAATAAAATGTTGGAACTCCATTGGAGAGCACCTCTCACTTGAGGCATTTGTTCATATAGGGTTGAAAGAGAAAAATATTATTTTCATAGAAAACTTAATCGTTCTTTCGGAGAACATGTTTGGCCCATGTTATGTCTGAGTACTTTCTACAGCTAGAACTTCACAAAGCGATAAACGTAAAGGATACTCCGTTCCAAAGAAATGTCGCTAAAAATCAGCAGAATAGCCTTGAACTATAGATCTGAAATTTCTCTTTCTGAAGCACATGTAAAGATCGAAAGGGAATACCGTTTTCATGCGTTTTTCTCTAATGTTTTACGACGATGATGAATCTTGAAATAATCTGTTTTCTTATATAGTGTCAGACAAAATGATGTCCAGAGTTCTCTAATTCTAGCGCGGACATTACAGAGAGAATTTTTCTAGATTTTCATTTTCTTCGACGCGACAAAGCTCGACTAGTTACATCAAAAAGATTCTATTGAGTTATCGTTCACTATTTTCTAGACTTCGATTAGTGGCAATTTTAAACAGGTGTTTTCTCTTATGAATCATTATTTGTCGATTGAACTGACATGTATGTCATACACAATCATGTTTTGATCAATGTGGTTCTGAGCATTGAAATGAAACGGAAGAAAAAAAAATGATTTTTTTTTGAAATATTCGAATTATGCGCGTTCTGTTTATCGAATAGATGGATTAGTGGTACATTAAAAAGAACCATTTAATCCACAATGGGGATTGAAATGAATCACTTCACTTATTCAAGCTAACAGTAATTGCGAAACATTACACAATGATTACCATTTTAATCATGAATTTTTCTTGTTCGAATGCCCGTTCAAAGCCATGCAATAGTCAACAATATTTTACTAAGTATTTAACAATGTTGTATGATATATCGATTGATAAGAACAAAAAAAAATTTACGAGAGATGCCTTAGTAAAAGTCGATGATATATTTTGATGATGATAATTATGCACAAGTATTTATGTAAATACATAAAAAAAAATACACAATATATATTGACAGAAAAGTAGTTCTAATAAAACAGTAAGATTATATATTCTTACTTGCAATTAATAATCTACCGTTCAACCGTATTTCTCTATTAGAGAGTCGAACTAAACTTGAATAAGATGAACATTTAATCACATAATAAGTTACTATCGAAAAACAAATCAATCATTTTTCTGATATAGATCAATGATTTTAAGTGGACAGAAGTAACACTTTTCTTTTTATATTTATGAAAAATCAGTTTTAATCTGTTAAACAAAACAAAACTCTCAAATTGATCATGAAAAAATCCAATAGATTATATTCTACAAGAACATATGTTGTTTCTGCAATATACTTGTGAGTGTGAGATGTAAATATGAAGTCTGCACATCCACCAGTGGCATAACGATACGAAGAGTTTTATCAACGATTTCTTTAAAACTACAGGTAAAGTAACAAAATTCACAGTCAACAACACAAATCATATAGGGATGTCATAAATATCGCATGTTCAAATGATGAAAGGTCCAAGACTAAGGAACTTTTGCATATGATGAAACAAAATGTTTTATTCGCCTGTAATGATTTTTTACCTTGACGCTACTAACTCATGCTCAATGAGATACTGTATTTTATATTAACTCTTCCACTTGTTTACGTCATGCTTCAATAGCCATTTTGTACATAAATCACGTTAGCAATTTTGTACTTGAGAGAGAATATATTATACTCTACGGATTTTGTTCAAATCAACTCTTTGTATATGGGTTACTTATATAAAAATAGATACAGCAGTCATGAATAATGAACCAAAATGTGTAAAATATCTGTACCCAACATTGCGTTCAAATTCTTTTATGTATATAAATGCAATGCAGCTTCGTTTATTTCTATACACAAAACAAGATATTAAAATACAAATATATTTATATATATTGAACAAATATGAACAAGCAACATGCTCTTATATTCATTGCAATGGCAATAATGGTAGATAATGTCTATGGAAGTTGTTTACAAGTTAAAATACTTTCAGCTCATTCAGTATTTGATAAAACACAAGATGTAGTAGTCGAAATGCAATATAATAACACTAGTAATGAGATAATATCGATTTATAAATGGTGTTTACCAAGCAATGAATTAAATGATCCATTATTCAAAGTAACTTGTAATAATGTTCCAGTGAGATATGTTGGTCCACTTATCAAACGACGTGAACCAACTATTGAAGATATGACACCTCTAGAACCTGGTAAAACAAAAATCATTCAAGCTCGATTATCATCAGCATATGATATGACTAAGACTGGTATATATTCAATTCAATATGATATGCCAGCTGAACGTGTTGTCTTCAAACATGCTCGAACATTCGAGAATGTCCTTTTTAGGACTATTAGTAAACGTCATTCTGGTCTTGAGTCAAATAATATTCAGTTGATCATCGAAGATCGTCTAAATATTCAACGTGAACAAAATAGAAATATGAATGTGATTAAAAGAGCAGCTACTCTTTCATATGTTTCTTGTTCGATAATCCAGAAATCTCAAATAACCAATGCGGTCGCTTGGGCTCTTAAGTATGCTGATAATTCTTTTAATTATTTGAATAAGACGAAACCTAGTGGAACAAATCGCGATAAGACTTGGTTTGGTAGATTTATGTTGAGCAATTGGAATACAGAGAAGATACACTTTCGAAATCTCAGAACCGTATTTAGTTCGAAGAGAATCACTTTCGATTGTGGGTGCAATAATGCTAGCCCGTATGCTGGGACGTATGCCTATGTTTTGGTCCGCACCGATGACAGGCACGGACTCAAAGGCTGGCACACTGATTCATGAAACTTCACACTTCTCAGTCATTGTTGGTACCTATGATTATGCATATGGTAAGATGGCATGCACGAGTCTGGCATTAAGTGCTCCATCACAAGCAATTATGAATGCTGATAGCCATGAATATTTTGCCGAAAATTTGCCTGTGCTCTTGTGACGAGCTGAAATAAATACGAACTTAACTAGAAAGTTTTCCTGTGTGAGCGATGCTTAAGAAGTGATGTGCTATTTGCTTCCTTCTGTACAAAAAGCATGTAATTTTGAGTAATATTTTGAGGATAAATACAATATATTGTATAGTATCTTCAGATTTTTTGAATGTTTTAATAGAATTTTGTTTTTTAATGTTTAATGAATTTTGTTTTATTTATAAATATACAGTTTCAATATTAAATAAGTATGTTTTTTTTCTTATCAACTTTTCGACAGTTCTGCTATCATTATCAATAGATGCGATAGTGATTCAAAAGGTTCTATATAAGGCGTACGATAATCAACAGTTCTACTTTATGCGATTTCTCATAAACTTTTGATGGATTTGTTCTAGTGCTATTTATCCTTGAAGGGATTCTGAGATGAAGCATTTATAACAGTGAGGAGGATAGAACCTATGTTTAAGGTGTCTTTGTAAACATTTCCATTAGAGGTATTTAATATTCCTAACACAGAGGTATATTTTTTCTGCTTTTATCAGAAAGGATTAGTACTTTATATTTACACTAAAAAAAATAAGTCTACCACTGAACTTATGAGATGTCATGTAACTTATTTATACCTTACCTTATGGGATGCTATAGGAATTGACGAAATCTGTGTAAAATTTCCGAATCTAACAGGTTCCATGTAAAAAGCATTCCGAGTTTTCCTAACCGACATAGTTTCGCACTTGACTAATCTTTTTCCTTGTCTCATATATTATTCGAACAGATGTCCATCAATCAGAAACTCGACTAATCTGACTTTGTTCTTCTTCTAATTCATTTACATTCACTATAAAATTGACTTTAGAAATCACATCGCTGTGTTAGGCATCATACTCTTCTACACAATGTCTATTGTTGGGCGAATAGAGAAGGCATCACTTCTGCAACAATCTCATCTCTTTCTTAGATGTATACTTAAGTAGTTTGAAATTTTCAAAAAGGCGCATAGAATTTAGGATGAACCATTTTTAACGAAAATTGATTAACGTAAATCTTTTGTAGTTTTACTTAAAGATCAATATTAATACAAAAATGAGCGGCGGACATCACGCGATTCATTAATATTAACACTGAATGAACTAGTTAACTCTCAATGCTTGTAACTCGTCACAGCTGATTTTGGATAAACTACGTTCAAGTGATATTAAACTTTTAGGACATGCTGAGGCTGTAATGAAGATGGTACACTAAAATTGTCAGCTCTATACTGTAACGTTTTGAGGAGATATGCATCAACTTAGAATTGAAAAAAGCTCGTTGGATCCAGCAAAAATCGTTCTGAGCTTTCATTCAATGTTTTGAATTCTTTTTTGTTTGAAATAACATTTTAGAGTCCAATGTTTGTTGTAGTCCGTTTTTAAATTCTTATTTTTTTTTTGAGCAGGCAGAAATGGATCACAATTTGACATCACCCAAACTTTCCACAATGTTAAAAGAATCCTAAATTTATGGAGCTTTGTAGTATCGAGTTGTTATCTTTTTCTCATCAACAAAAGTATAAATTTGAAAGAAAAAGACTTCGAGAGACACTGCATGCACTTTTACATACTTTTTCAATCAAAATAAAAATAGAGCGTGAATAATGGAAGCACAAAAAAAATTTTTTTGTGAGACGAAGTGAGATATTTTTGATTCTTGTTCGATGCATATCTCACAAAAACTTCATAGTGTATGGCTTAAAATTTTAGCCTGTCCTCTTCACTACAAACTCCGCATGTCGTAAAAATCTTTTGCAATTTGATTTGATCTGATTTCAAATCGATTTTAAGGGAAAGTGGTCGTAATATTGAGTTTGAATAGTTTCTGATGATACACATAGCGTAATTAAAGTTATCAACGTAGTTGGTTATCGATAGAGTGATACTGTTCCATTCAATTTGTCTCCACCAGGGAAGGTCTATTTCAAGTAAGTAAAGATTTTTCACAATCAAACTTGACTAAAAGTTTTCGAAATCAAGAAATCCGAATCTCTATACATTTGTCCAAAATTTTGAAAATGCTCTTTGTTCGGTCTCATAATCTCCAGTTTTATGCTTTTAGTCAACGTTTCTTTTTTAAAAAACTTTTTTTGCAAAGTACATCTTCTCGGGCAATAAAAATTGATTGAAATACTATTACCTCCAGGAACAATACTTATTCATTTAATTTTTAGTAAATTATATATTCGGAGAAAAAAATTTAATTTAATTTTCAACAATTAAGTTGTTCGTTGACCATTACTATTAATGAATAAGATGATAGCAGTTGCACGGTTTTTATCAGTATTAATGATACAATGATTTGCTAATTCTTAATATTAATTTATTGCAATGCGTGTTTTATTCAGAAGTTTGATTTAATATTGGATATAAGGTAATTTTCTTCTTTTATCTGATCTAATTTACACTATTAATTTATAATTTATTAAAAATTAGTAACGTTTCATATTTCGATGTGATACTTCATTAAGCAATAAATTTAAGACAAATGACCGAAAAATAATATAAGATCAAATAAAGTTTGACTATTTCTTTGTTCTTTTCTTTTGTATTAGCCAACGATAGTGACAGAAAAAGCAAGACGGTAATAGTAATTACGATACAGAGATTAAATCCTTTTCTGCATCACTATCAATGACTAATATAAAAGAAAAGAAAAGACAAAGAAATTAAAGGGTGGTTCAAAAGTTTCGATTCCTCCTCGTACATGTATTATTTTTATGAAAAACTTACATAAAATTAATTGATCAAATTATGTGATTTTGTAGAGAAGAAGAGGGGGTATCTTTCTATAATAAGATCTTTCGAAATGCTTAAGTATAAGATAATCATATGACCATTTTATTCATCTCGAGTAAGCTTTTTTATTTTGCGTTTTTTGAAAAAAAAATATGTGTATAAAATGTTTCTTGAAAAAAAAATATCAAAATGATTTATAAATTTATCATACAAATGTGCTTCTTTTAAAAATATATCGATAAACACATTTTGTTTGTTTAAAACTATCAATAATCAGATTTCGTTATGCGTTGACCTCGTTTTCGAACAATTGGCTTTATTAGCCTTTTTCGAATACTGTTGATCATTTTCATACATTTTTCTTCACTAAAACTTTCCCATATATCAATAATTTTTTGTTTCATACCGTCTAATGAATTAAATTCATATTTGCTTAATTTTTGTCGAATGATACTCCACAAGTTCTCGATAGGCCACACGTCCTGCATTTTCACAGGTTTATGATAAATATCAAGAAACTTAGTCAAATAAATTCTGAGAAAAGTGTTTATAATGCTTGTATTGGAAGTACAAGGTAAATGCTTAATTCAATAACAGTCATGTTTGATATCAATGTAAAAGGCCATCGAAAGTATTTAGATTGGAGAGTGCATGGACTGTCATTGCGAGAAATTCATGGTTGGTCAGGAAATAAAATTACCTCGGAATTATGGAACCGTTATCAACCAAATGATATTAGCAAAAGTGGATTACTGTCATTCGTTAAAAGAACCATTAAACGTTGTACCGTTCAAGATCTTCCTAGATCAGAAAGACCCAGATCCAAAAGAACCAAATCGAATATTAGAAAAACTCGTCAAAGACATTTAAACAAACAAAATCCAGGCCAAAGAGCAACGGCTGATAAATTGAATATTTCCAAATCATCCGTTCAAAGAATTTTGAAAGAAGATTTAAAATTGAAACCTTATCACAAAATACGTACATCCAGAATTACTGAAACATATGCTGCATCAAGGTTATATAGTGCTAAATTATTATTAAAAAATATGGAATAAATCTTAGATATCAACGTTTTCAATGGAATAAGATGGTGATTACAGTTTTTTCTGGGAAGATAGGAGTGAGACAAAAACACAACAGCAAAAACAACGTTGTGTATGCAGCTGATAAAAATTCAATACCAATTAAATTCTTATAGATACCAGAAGAAAAATTTGAGAGTGGATTTATGTTATGGGGTGGATTAACCAGCAAGGGTTTAATTCCTGCGACACCATTACTTATTGATGAATTTTTAAATCAGTACGAGTGGAGAAAAGGTGAAAAAAAACCATGAATGGTGGTCGATATATTGATTTATTAAATAACGTTGCTATACCTGCAATAAAACAATTGTTCCCTAATGATGATTATATTTTTCAAGATGATACATCGCGTATCCACCGCGTACATCTGCCGTTAGGAAATTTGTAGAAGAAAATATACCTGAACTAATTGAAGTTAGTGATCAAGCTGTCAAAATAGACGATGCGTGGCCTATCGAGAACTTGTGGAGTATCATTCGACAAAAATTAAGTAAATATGAATTTAATTCATTAGACGGTATGAAACAAAAAATTATTGATACATGGGAAAGTTTTAGTGAAGAAAAATGTATGAAAATGATCAACAGTATTCGAAAAAGGCTAAAGGCAATTCTTCGAAAACGAGGTCAACGCATAACGAAATCTGATTATTGATAGTTTTAAACAAACAAAATGTGGTTATCGATATATTTTTAAAAGAAGCACATTTGTATGATAAACTTATAAATCATTTTGATATTTTTTTTTCAAGAAACATTTTATACACATATTGTTTTTCGAAAAACGCAAAATAAAAAAGCTTACTCGAGATGAATAAAATGGCCATATGATTATCTTACACTTAAGCATTTCGAAAGATCTTATTATAGAAAGATACCCCGTCTTCTTCTCTACAAAATCACATAATTTGATCAATTAATTTTGTGTAAGCTTTTCATAAAAAGAATCCCTCTACGAGGAGGGGTCGAAACTTTTGGGCCACCCTTTAGAATGTACTCACTTTTTGAGTACACAAAAAGATGATAAAGGATGGTATGAAGAAGAAATTCGAGAAAACAACAAAATCTCTTTTCTTTCATCCTAATTTTCATATAAACATTTTTCTTTATAAAAGCTTTCTGATCAGTCAGTACGTGTTGGTTAGTTTCCTGCTAATTGTGTACAAATACAAGAAGCTGTTTCATCGACATCATTATCATCGACAACTTCACATCAAAATACATTAAGTAAATGTCAACAAAAAAAAAATGCATTAATTTCTTTTCTTTTCAATGATAATTTCGTTTACATATATGTAACATATTCGATGTTTTCTTTAGGATTANAACTTCTTCTTTATTCTTCTTGCCATGATATCGATATCTATCCCTTTTAGTACATGTCCATTCTGTACATATCAAGGTCATTTCTTTTCTTTCCTCTTCCTCTCTCTTGAGTGTGTAGAGATGACTTTGATGATGTATGACTGGCTGAAGTTTTCTGAATGAACCAATTTTTAAGTGCTTTGAAAAAAAACCGTTCTTGTATTCCCTAAACTTTTTCTACCAAGAGGAACCACTGTAACATTGACGAAAACAAATAATTAGTTAATGCCGGTCTAATGTATGAAAAAAGAAAAAAAATCTGGATATCGGACAATGAATGAAAAATAAATGTTTCGGTTATGACTAGTAAGAGCACACATGGTCTCGCTTTATTCCTCTATGGGTAATAATAAAAGGCCGAAAACAAAATCCAATAAATATGATTTCCTATCTACCATCAATCTATGATTCAAACTCAAGATAGTCAATCATATTTTTTTCGGTTTCTTTCCGTTTTCGGTTTCATTTTCGATCTTTTATTCTAATCTGTCCTCTATAATATATTGTATCTTTTGATGTTATCATTGGCTTATTTAATTACTAATACAATTTTATTGCACAACGTGTTGATTTGTTACGCTTTGCTAGCTACTTATGGATTTTAATACATTATGACGTAAGAAAATATTTCGTTGCATTAATATACCACTAAAATGTGGTACATATTTTCGGTCTGGTTTCTCATCGATTCCACTGCTAACATCCGCCGATATTGTTTCAATATAATTATGAGTGTCGGATGTGAATATAAAGTCTACACATCCACCACTGACATAACGATACGATCAGTTTTATCGACGATTCTTCTTAAAATAAAGGTAAACTAATAAAAGTCACAGTCACCAACAGAAATCATATAGAGAGATATCATAAATATCGCATGTTCAAATGATGAAAGGTCCAAGTCTAAGGAACTCTTGCATATGATGAAACAAAATATTTTATTCGCGTCTAATGATCTTTTACCTTGACGCTAATAACTCGTGCTCGATGAGATACTGTATTTTATATTAACTCCTCCGCTTGTTTACGCCATGCTTCAATAGCCATTTTGTACATAAATCACGTTAGCAACGTTGTACTTGAGAGAGAATATATTGTACTCTGCGGATTTTGTTCAAATCAACTCTTTGTATATGGACTACTTATATAAAAATAGGCACAACAGTCGTGAATAATGAACCGAAATGTATAAAATATCTGTACTCCACATTGCGTTCAAATTCTTTTATGTATATAAATGCAATGCAGCGTCGTTTATTTCTATAAAAAAAAACAAGATATTAAAATACAAATAGATTGATATACATACATTTAACAAATATGAACAGGCAACATGCTCTTATATTCATTGCAATGACAATAATGGTAGATAATGTCTATGGTAGTTGTTTACAAGTTAAAATACTTTCAGCTCATTCAGTATTCGATAAAACACAAGATGTGGCAGTGGAAGTACAATATAATAATACTAGTAATTACACAATATCGATTTATAAATGGTGTTTACCAAACAATGAATTAAATGATCCATTATTCAAAGTAACTTCTAATAATGTTCCAGTTAATTATATTGGTCCACTTGTCAAACGACGTGAACCAACTATTGAAGATATGATCCCTCTAGAACCTGGTAAAACAAAAATCATTCAAGCTCGATTATCATCAGCATATGATATGACTATGACTGGTATATATTCAATTCAATATGATATGCCAACTGAACGTGTTGTCTTCAAACATGCTCGAACATTCGAGAATGTCCTTTTTAGGACTATTAGTAAACGTCATTCTGGTCTCGAGTCAAACAATATTCAGTTGATCATCGAAGGTCGTTCAAATATTCAGCGTGAACAAAATAAAAATATGAATGTGATTAGAAGAGCAGCTACTCTTTCATATGTTTCTTGTTCAATAACCCAGAAATCTCAAATAACCGCTGCAGTCTCTTGGGCTCTTCAGTATGCTGATAATTCTTTCAATTATTTGAATAAGACGAAACCTAGTGGAAGAAGTCGCTATAAGACTTGGTTTGGTAGATTTATGTGTTGACCAATTGGAATACACAGAAGATACACTTTCGAAATATCAAAAACATATTTAGTTCGAAGAGAATCACTTTCGATTGTGGATGCAATGATGCTAGCCAGTATGCTGGCACGTATGCTTATGTTTACAGAGATCGGTCATACACAATATACTCATGTCCTGTGTTTTTGTCCGCTCCAATGACAGGCACGGACTCCAAGGCTGGCACACTGATTCATGAAACTTCACACTTCTCAGCCGTTGTTGGTACCTATGATTATGCATATGGTAAGATGGCATGCACGAGTCTGGCATTAAGTGCTCCATCACAAGCAATTATGAATGCTGATAGCCATGAATATTTTGCCGAAAATTTTCCTGTGCTCTTGTGACGAGCTGAAATAAATACGAGCCTAACGAAAAGGTTTTCCTGTGTAAACAATGATTACGATTCCATATGTTATTGATTTCCGTTTTTGTAGAAAGAACATGTAATTTTGATTTTTTTTGTTTTGTATTTAGTAACATTTTGAGGATAAATACGATATGTTGTATAGTATCTTCAGATTTTATTAATGTTTTAATAGAATTATGTTTTTTAATGTTTAATGAATTTTGTTTTATTTGTAAATATACAGTTTCAATATTAAATAAGTATGTTTTTTCTCTTATCAACTTTTCGACAGTTCTGCTATCAATATCAATAGATGTGAGAGTGATTCAAAAGGTTGTTTAAAAGGCGCAGGATAATCAACAGTTCTACTTTAAGCGATTTCTCATAAACTTTTGATCGATTTATTCTAGTGCTGTATACCCTTGAAGGGTTTTTGAGATGAAGGATTTATAAGAGTGAAGGGATATGGCGCATGTTTAAGGTTTTGTTTAATATTTCCATCGGAGTATTTAATATTCCTATAACACAGAGGTATATTATTGTCTCATTTCATCAGAGAGGATTAGTACTTTACATTTACACTAAAAAAAAAGAAATGTACAACTGAACTTATGAGATTCCATTGAATGTATCTATACATTACCTTATACGGTACTATACAGATTGACAAGAACGGCAAAATTTCTGAATCTAACGGTTCCGTATAAAAAGCATTACAAGTTTTCCTAACCGAAATGGTTTCACACTAGACTAATCTTTTTCCTTGTCTCATATATAATACGAACAGATGTCCATCAATCAGGAGTTCGACTAATCTGACTTTGTTCTTTTTCTAATCAATTTATGTTCATTATAAAATCAATTTTAGAAATCATGTCACTGCATTAGTCTTCATATAAAATCTCTGACTTTTTGAAGTATAATCCTAGTAGACATTTTTACGACGATTTATGACTATTTTTTTAATAATAGGTAGACAGTATGCAAAAGTTGATCCAGGCTAACTTTACTATAGAACATCCAAATGAGCTAAAAATTTGGATTTTGTGGCTTCCGACTATAACCTTTCGAGTGCGCGTAAAAAATCAAAAATTTATATTTTGGCCAATGCCTCGTATACTGGAATGATCCTTTGCCCTCTCATGGACTCTCTTTATTGATTTAACAAGTTTACATCAAAAGATTTTGAAAACTTTGCATATCATAATCATTATTTCAATATTTTAGGTCATATTTCCAAAAATAAATTTTCGTTTTTAAACCGGCATTGTAATATTTGATAGCAGTTTTAAGAGTTTAGAAATTTCAACTTTTTTTCTCTCTTGCTAAAGTCTTATTTCTAATTAATGAACGAGTACCCCATAAAGAATGGAACATTTTGATTTACTTTTGTTTTTGAGGATAACAACACAATTTATAAATATCATTCTAAGCTCCTTCAATAGACAATTTTTTGTTCTTCCAATAAGTTTCTCCTGTCGCAGAACAATCGAAAAAAATGACAACTACTCACTCATTGAACTGTAACTTTCAGAGAACAAAACAATTATCAAAAATATTTAAATAACAGTTGACACAAAAAGCCGTTTTATGACAGCTCTTTGCCTTTGAGGAAAATCTAAAGATTTGTTCTTCCATTTGAATGTTGCATTATTTTGTTCAGAATTCAATTCCCCATCCGATTATAAACCGTTCATAGCATTCAAAACAGCATATCAACAGGTGTTAGTTCCAAACCTATTGTACGGAAACGACATCGTTGGGAGTCTTGGGAAGATTTTGACAGTATAGAGCATAACATTTTCTATCTTCTAATGCTAAGTACTTTACATTTGAGTAATGAATTAGCCGTCAATCTTGCCAATTTTTTGGCAACAAGGAAAAATGATTTAAAAAGTGATGCCTTTGAGCAATCTTTTCTTTCTTCAAAAACGGAAAATTAAATTGTTCCATTATTTATGAACCATTTGTTATTTTGAAAGATACAACAAATCAGAAAATTATTTTTCATTTATAGACGAAATAAAAACTACTAATAGATTTCTTTATTTTCAGACATATATATATATATCGCATATGCACACATTTCAATTTCGATGAAAGGAAGAAAAACATGCGTTTCACTTACATGCTCACAGCGATATACAACGAAGGAAGGAAAAAAAAAGAGTAGAAGAAAATGGGAAAAATACCTAAGAGATATACAAACACATATATATATATAATATGTTAAAGAAAAAAAATGAGAACGAAACAGATGCACTAGAAAAGAATATATATTCAATAGCATAAAATCGATTTATCATTGATTTGAATTAACACGATTACGTAATTTATATCGTCGTTTAGGTGTTTGTTTTCTCATGGCTAGTGAAGATTTTTGTAGAACAGCGATAGGACTAGCCGGTGTTGGTGATGATGGAGCACATGCCATACCTGCTGAATTGGTTTTTAAATGATTAATTAAACGATTTGATGCTGATGCTTTGAAATAAAAAGAAAAAACTTATATTTAATTGAATTAGAATAAAAATAATAAATCTTACGTGGTGTATGCCGAAAGAATGATTGAATACGTTGAATAGCAGATGGTTTTGGACTCATTGTATTTTGAATTGATGGAGGTGGTTGAAGATTAATAGGGGATGATGTTGCTCGAGTAGCTAACTGAACTGTTACTATCGGAGAATCAGCACTATTTGACGCTGGTAATGGTCGTTTTTTTAATATTGAAGTACTCTTTGTTTTAGCTATTAGAAATAACAAAAATAGAATTTTTTTTAAAATTATTTTAAATAATTTTATTTAAATTACCATCTTTAACAAGAATAGGTGGTGTTGGTTTGCGTTCATCTTCGGTCTAAAATATTTTTTAGAAAGTGTTTTTTTTTATTAGCATATCATATCGAAATCAATTAGAAGAAAAAAAAATTCTCTTAGATGATTTGTATTTGAAATAAGTGTGTTTGTGTGAATTGAAATACTGTTAAGACAGATTTCTAACGAAAGGAATATTGAAATCATTCGTACCAATGACTTATGTTGGTCAATAATTAAAATCATTTTTACTGAATTTCCTGTTTGCGTTCCTATTTATTTAAGTTTCTTGTGATTAGAGTGTTCTAGACTGAAAATTTTTGTAAAGTGGTTACAACATTTGATTGATAGATCAGGAATACAAATGATTTTGTGAAGTATTCTTAATCATAGCGAGCTCTATTCATAAGAAAATTTTCTGTTTAAAAGTAAGGAAACAGTTGGTCTATGTCTCTAGTAAGCAAAAAGATAATTGAGACATTTCGCTCGTCACCTTTTTTCGCAGATTAATATTAATCAATGAAAAACAGAAATTCTTTAAAAATACAAAAGTAACTACAAAATGATTTGATGATTTTTCTTTTTGTTTTTCTTGATTAATAAAGCTCAACATTCAATACTGACAGGGTCACCAAAAGAAAGTTTTTTCGAATTTGAATTACATAAGTAAAACAGAGTCAATATGGCTGAGTAACTACATTGTTCGGCACGTATTCCATGGGCACTGTTCACATCATTGATGTCCATGAGTTTTACTTTCTTAGTTTAAATTGAAACTTACATGAGACTTTGATGGTACTTTTCTAGTACTTGGTTTATTAGTGAGACCACTATTGCCTGCAGGTCGATCAGGTGTTCCATGTTTAGCTTTTTTGTTATCTTGTGTATCCTACGTAAAATTTAAGGAATTTAAATAAAAAAGAGAAGAAAAGTAGTGCCACCTCTTCATGAGCACTTCTTTTCGATCGTAATAAACGTGTTGTTGTTGTTGTTGTTGGATGTGATGTTGATGATGATGCAGCAATCATAATGGGTTCATTAGTTTTTGTTTCACGTAATTGAAGTAATTCAACTTGTAATAAATCATATTTTGAATGTACAGTTTTTAAATCTTGTTTTAATTGTATTAATTCTTGCTGAATTTTTTCATTATGACTTTGTTCGGAAAGAATTTTATCATTTAATTGTTCAATAATTTTATCTTTTTGAGTTGTTTCATATTTGTCTTGTTCATAATTATGTTTTAAACGTTTAATTTCATCATTATAATGAGTTTTATCATTGAATTGATTTTGTTCATATTGACGATTTTGTTCAATTATTGTATTATATTCTGTATTTAAACAATCAAATTTTTGTTGAAGATTTTTTAAACGTGAGCGTAATGTATCATTATCATGATTTGTTTGATTATATTTTTTTAATAAATCATTATATTTTATTTCGAATTCGGTATATTTTTCTTTCATATGTTTACAATTTTCTTGTTCAGATTGATTTGTTTTATTAAGTGATTCAATTTGTTGATTTAACTAAATTAGACAATAAAAATTTTATGAAGCAAAAAAAGGCAATTTTTAAATTTACTAATTGTTTTTCATTGATTAATTGTTCGATTTGTTCACGTTGGTAGAGTACATATTGAATAGTATTTGTACGTTCTTGACTAAAATGAGGATAACAACAAATGAAAGAAAGGTAGACATAGAAAACATAGAAGCATACTGTCGTTCAATGAAAAATAATCGACGATTTGATGCTTGTTTTTGTAAAAGATCTATAGCTTTTTTTGTACAATATTTCCAATAATGAATCTAACAATCAATAAAATTAATTAACTCCTTTCGTCGTATTTTTGATTTTATAAATTGGAATTTTCATATATAGAAACCATTAGTGAATATACTGAGTTCAAAGTACATGAAAGAATATTCTGTAGAGTCCGTCGAGCCAAAAATTCTCACTACTTGACTGCAGAATGCTTCTAACGATGAAAGCCCTTTACTTGATTAATCGCTTTTGATTCTAAGCAGTGTGCATCATGTAGACTTTAATAAATTATGAAATACCATAAAAAGAGCTTATTGCTGTCGAGATATTGCTTAAAACAATGCCGTCGTTCCACTCATGAACAACTGAACAAGTAATTTTCGAATTTCGACTTGAAATTAAGCATATAGATAGGCTTTAAACAGAACATTTTATTGTGATAAGTATTAGTCTTTTGATTTATTTCTATGCTGAAATAAGACATTCAATCTACTAGTGTATATAAACGATGAGATGATTTGAAACTTTCACAATAAACTATTCGATTTAAGGCCTATCCATATGATAAATTTCAAGTCAAAATTCGAAAATTACTTTTTATTTGTGTTCCTCTGAGGAAGACTACGACTTTGATTGAAAAACTACTCTCAAAGTGTAGTATATCGGCAGAAATAGAGTAACAGTATGAACTCTTTTTAGGGTATTCATAACTCAGCAGGATTTACGTGATCTACATAGTTCTGGCTCAATAACGATTAATCAGTTGAAAGGATTATGCAGATCAGGGTTAAATTGACCAGCCTGTTGAAAAATAATCTCATACTAGTAGCAGATTATCTTATCAAGTATCCGCTGCAAAACTGTCTGAGTATCTTGAACTTAATTCATTTTGCTTAGCTTATCTTCATGTTTTTCATTTGATATAATGTCATACGATCATCATGAATGTCGGTGTTACTAGCCTAGATCGTCTAAAAGTAAATTCTGTGTATTTGTCATAAGTCTAATTCATAAAAACTAAGAAAGAACTCCTTCATATTGAACCAATCAATTACTCTGTTTAATTCTTTACACATAAATCAAAACTTTCATTTTACTTAAAAACTAATATTCTATATTTAACTTACCGATTGTACATCTGTTGGTACGGTTGATCCATCGATAATTATAGCTAAAATAAAAAGCAACTAAAAATTTCTGTTATAAAATCATTACCTGATTGTTCTTCAACATCATCACTATCAACTGTTTGATGATTTTTCTTCTTTCCTAGAGCAGCACCACGTACTCCTTGACCTAATCGTTTTGGACCTTTGATTTTCGATTCTACTACAACTTTTTTCTGTGGTGGTTCTACTGGCACAATAATCGTCTAATGAAAAATAATCAAAAAAAAAATCTTTATTCTTTCTCTTCAATAATCTAAATAAACATACTTTTTGTGCAAGAGCACTAAATTTCAATAAATCATTTGTTTGTGAAATAAATGTTGCACATGGATTAACATTACAACAAATAATTGTTCGTCCACGACCAATAAAAAATGGTCGAAATATACTTGTTAATACACTATTTCGATAAGGTAATAACATTTGTTTTCTAAAACAAATAAACAATTGGCACTTTTTTTCTCAATTAAATTATACAATAGTCGCAAGAAGTCTCTCTCGCTACCCAGTAAAAAGTACAAACTTCAATCCTTTTGCCTGATACTATGACTGCAAATAGGAGCTCGTTATATCCTAATTTTCTTTTCCTAGAACCCAAGAAAAACTTTTTTTCATACTTTTCTTATTTGCCACGATTTAAATGTGTTAACCACCATTTTCTTATTAACAAATGCAAGTATTGTCTGGAACGGTCGCAACATGGATTTTTGCTTCATATTGATGGCTGCAATCGTGAACTCGACTAAAGTAATGCACTCACTGGGGAAATTTTCAAAGCAAATGGTTAAAAACAACCGGAAACATCGATCACTCTTCTACGATTTCCGTCAACTCTCGCTTCTCCGTATGATAGTCGATCAAAAATCCTGATTAGTCTTTACGACCAGAGTTCAACATGCTCTATTAGTGATCAAACTATAAGACTAAAAGGATTAAACTTTGGGTACTCTGCACCTGGTAGCGCGACTTCCAACAAACATTATAAATTTAAAAAATCTTACTTAGCTGTTTGATTTTCATTTAAAACTCGAATACAATCTTTAAATGTCATTAATGATGTATTTATATTACATGTTTCAGCTAATTGTTTTCCTGTACCAGTTGAAGGTTCATTTCCGGCCAAATCGCAAATATCTTATAAAGAGAAAAAAGAACATTTTCTTTAAAAATTCTTTTTAAAACTAAACTTACACATATGACTCATTGTTGGTTCTTCTTCAAATTCATCAAATGTAATTAATGTAATACAAAGTACAGCATGTGAACGTGATGATGCTTCATTTAAATCTGTTTTTGATGTTGCACGATTTGAATAACCAAATCGAATTGTATCTTCAGCTTCTTTTAAATCAAAAACTGGAATTTGTACAAGATCTTTGATTATTGTTGATTCATTATTTTGCATTAAACGTAATGGTTTACGTTTTTTCATTGCACTTGGTTTAATAAGTAAATCAAATACACTTTCATTATATAATTCAAAAAATGATATCCAAACAGAATAATGTTCATCTATTTCTTAGAAAATAATTGAAGAACGAATACTTTTTTGTTTTGTTTTTACCTTCAACTGAATGATCATCAAGAATTGATGGTTGATCTTGAACAATATTTTGTAGACGACTTCGACGCTAAATTTACAAAAAAAAAAAAACAATTTTTTTATCAAAAAATAATACTACTATACATACATAATCATCTTTATCATCTTTAAATATATATTTACGATAATTGATTTCATCTTGAAGATTATTCATATTTGTTTGTACTAAATTTTCCAAACCATCAGGTTTATATAAAACTTTTGTATCAATATTATAACCGACATGTAAAAATATACGTTGTAAACATTGAGGAATAAGACCAGGATCTTTTGGTGTACCAAACATTGTATGAGTTTTACCTAATAATCAAATCATTTTAATATAATCTTTTTTTTCTATTATCTATTTTCTTACCGCTATTTGTAAGACCAAGTGTACATAGAAGCCAATTAGAGCCAGTAAATATTTCATCAGTTGATTGTTCAAGAATTTGTTCAAAAAGTTCTTCTTGTGTACAATTATGATCAAATATCCTAGTAACCTATGCGTATAAAAAGAGTTTGTTTTTTTTTTTATTAGAAAAAAGAATCTTTCAAACCTCATATTCATTATAAGATGTTTGTGCTGGTCGAATATTATTTGTTGCTGTTGGATAAAGTTTAACAGCAATACGTTTTTCATCACGAATGCAAAGCATATTTTGATTTTCACCACGAACAAGTTCATCACCAATAAATGGTCGAATACGTACATAAACATTAACAGGTGGTTCAACACGACGAGTATTCGTCGTTTCATTATTAGGATTTCCGATCGCTGTTGTGTCTGTCGACATCTAGATAATGAAAAAAAAACACAAAGAACAAAGAAATACAAACTAAAACTTCAAATGTTTATTGAAATGTTTAAACGAAAGATACTAATAGTGAAAATGAAATAGACACGTCCATTTTTTCGTCTTTTACATATTGTACTACGTAGTATAATTTTCTTTATTCCTCTTCTTGATTGCCGCCATTGTTTATAAAAGGAAAGAATGAATAGAATACGACATCTGTTTGATGTACATAACTACATAACTGTATTCTCTCGGCGCCTATAATTAAATTTTGTTAGTTTAACTTTTTTTTTCCATTAAAATGAATCCTAGATTCTTCGATTCAACATCCAATATCGTACCTTGGTGTCAAAATAATAATCTGTCAACAAGAGTACCGAAAATAAATTCTAACATTCTACTAATATGTCCTCAAAAAAAGTCTGTTGAACAAATAAATTGTGTACGTGAACCGATTATATCCGTACAAGAACAACGACAAACTAGAGAAAAAATTCTACCTAGTATCAACTGTAAATCAAAATATATAGTACGACTTAGTATTTATTTAAAAAAAAATAGTTTCTAAAAATGAATAACTTACTTAACATATAAACAGGATAAATGTTATGCAGGTAATTAATAATGTTTCTCTCTTAAACAATTTTTTGATTCATAAAAATTATTGTTTTCTTTTGAATATCAGAATATAATATAAATGGTCTTCGACAAGGATTCGGTCTATTAAAAGATATTCGATATGAAAAACTAGAACCCGGTAAACCATCAGTAGTCATTCATTCATCAACACTTGAAAAAAATGTAACTGATACTTCGATATCAACAAATTATGCGCTCAAAGAACTTGCGAATATAGAATTAAGAAAACGTTTTGCTATTGTTCATACAGAAAAATATATTTATATTGTTGGAGGTATGTTAATATTTATAAAAAAAAAAGACATGAAATATATTTTCTATTCGTAACAATCTCATTTGTTAATAGGTTATATTTATGATTATCAAATCCCCGAAAGAAAAAAAGCTTTACAGTAAGCAGCTTTTATTGATATTAATTCGAATAAGAAAATTTCTATTTAGCGATTACAAATATGATTTACAAACGCGCAAATTAATTCCTACACAAGCATTACCGAATGGAGCAAGTCATTGAAATTATTTTAGTTTTGCATTCTACGATTCGATAAATCTTTTCTGTTTTTTTGCTTGTTAAGATATAGAATATTCGGAAAGCTATCGATCAAAAACAAAATTGTATCCTTCCATTATGCTTTCATTGAATGAACTGATTTTTGTAGTGATAGTTGAGGACACTTCCAAGTTTTTATTTATCAATATAGAGTTATTCTCACTTGAAGTACAAGTCTCTTGCTACGAAATGAAAAGAAGAAACTACTTGTTGTAATTGTTCATTGAAAATTTCATATATCACACGTTACTTTTTTTTTATCCAGCTCGCCTATTGTTTCATTCTCAAATCTCTGATAGATTCATAAATTCATGAATTTTCTTCAACTGAATACTGAGCAGAGACAAATGAGCTATTATATTGAGGAAAATACATTAGGTATAAACAGTAGTTTAATAGTTCGATGCTAATCTTCAGACAGGTGTGAGTCAAGAGAAGAAAAACCGTTATACCCAACACTAAAGAGATGTGTTAAATAACAATTTATTCAAATAAATGTGAGTTTCCGATCATCCAGGCCTATTTTTTTTGGTTTGTTAACATTTGTGGGATATTTTAAACACACTAGACAAATTGATCTCACGTCTCGTATCTCTGAAGAAATGTTTTATAAAGCAAAAGAAATAAGTCGAGAAGCTCAAAATAATGAAAAGTAGAATTATGATACAGTAAATATTTGCTTCTATTTTTTAGGCAATTGGTTTTGGATTGTGTATCGATGAAAAATGTATTTATGCAGGTACAGATAATATTCAAATATGTAATAGAATGTTTTTAAATATTTTTCAGTTGGTGGAAATGATATTGATAATAGACCATTAAGTGATTGTTATTGTTTAAAGATAAGAAATTCGAATGAAACATGGATAAAATTACCTAGTCTACCAGTAAAAATTCTATAAAAAAATTGAAATGATCATATAATATAGTGTTATATAGGCACCTACAACTGGACCAGGTGTTGGTGCACATAATGGTGTATTACATTGCATTGGAGGTAATTAATATATTTTTTTTCTCATAAAATAAAAAAAATTTTTCTTTTAGGATATGATGTTCTTGGTAATCGATCAATAGCTCACGGTGAATATCTTATACTTCATTATCCACAAGATAAACAATGGCAATATGCACCTGAATTAAATATTGTTCGTGTACGACCATTAGTTTTTATTGATCCAAATGATACAATTAATGGACATAATGTTTACGTTGCTGGTGGTTTTAATATCAATTCACATACTCATAAACCATATATTGTATCTGATTTACAATTATTTAAACAAGTTACGCAATCTTGGCAACAATTAACAACAATTCCAAACTTAGAATTATCACATGAATTATCATTTGATGATCATAAATTACATGTTAGTGAAACAATTGAATTACCTGATCAAATACCAACAATAAATCATTTATATAGTTTTGATCTTCGAAAATTTAGTTGGATAAATACAACAAATGATACAGATGATAATAGAAAAATCAATACACGAAATTCTACACGAACAACTCCATCATCAACTTCACCATTTTTTCTTTCACCAGATAGAAATAAAAAGAAAGATGTTAAAACTAAACAAAATAGTCAGGTTATATATCTCATCTAGATATATTATTTATTACGATATATTAATTCATATTCTATATAGATCAATAGATCAGATTCAATTCCAAAAACAAAAACATCAACATTAAAGTTTGTTGTCTCATTTTAAATTAATTATCAATGAAATCTTTTTTGCTTTTTTTAATAGGCTACCCAACTCAAAAATACAAACAAAGTAATATCAAATCAGGTAGATAACATGTAACTGAAAAGTTTTTAGACACGATTTTCGTTCATTTTTGACCCGCTGGAAAGTATCAAAAGTTATGAGATAGGAACTAAAAAGGCTGTGAAATAAGTTTTACCCCTACTACATTTACTCTATGATAAATTTCAGTTTTTTGCTTATTATTGTTACAGAGATACAAATGATATCAAGATTATAAAAATTTTTGCAATCTTTATGAACGTTTTATAAGGTTGGAATAATGCAAAATTAAAGCAAATTTTTTTCTGGTTTTTTCTTTACATGGGTAGATAGAGCTTGTCAAGCTGAGTAAAAATATATATATATAATTTTTTTTGAAAAGCTTTTGATAAAAAAACTCGAATTTTTCTCAATAGGCTTTTATGACTCATTTTTTTCTAAAAGGTCAGTGCATTTTAAAGTTTTGTCAATAAAAACAAAATTCTCATTTCGTTGACATTCTAAAACTAATATATCCAGATTCCTCATGAGAAGCTGTGTCTATGACACTTATTTCGAAATAAGTGTCATAGACACAGCTTCTCATGAGGAATCTGGATATATTAGTTTTAGAATGTCAACGAAATGAGAATTTTGTNATCCGTGATGATTTAAAAAAGAAATTATGATTCTAACATCATTTGTATCTCTGTAACAATATTAATAAGTAAAAAGCTGAAATTCTATCATAGACTACATCTAAATGTTTAGTGTATTTAGGCAGTATGTCAACTTGAATCAATACAGAAATGTGTGAGAAAACACTATTGCATGAAAGATCATACTGTACTTGTTTTTGAACTGTCTAATTTAGTTACAAGAGAACTTTTCGTTTCTATATTAGTACTCACTCACATCACTAACAATGAATGAATTTCAATTTTTGAAAAACTCGAAGCATATTCAAGAAAAAATTTTTATAGAAGTTTTTTTACAAAAGGTATTAGTGAGTTTTCAAAAATACTTTTTGAACTTTCAATGCACGTACAGTGTGAAAATCGTTGTACTTTTTTGTATCGCGTTTCTAACGCTAGTTTTTCAGGATATGTAGGGTAACTCGCAATACGTCTATAACATAAAAATTAGCAAATCAAAAGAAATTTTTGAGTCCAAATTTATACGCATTTTTATTTCGTGAAATCATGTTGTAAACGAATGCAATTGTTCATATATGCATTATGATATTACAGGTATGGATAAATCGCGTGAAATGAATCAAAATTTGATTGCTCGAAATAAGGTAAAAGAATTTTTTAAAATGATCATATCTTTCATTTCTTTCATCAATATTAGATTCCAATGAATATCAAACGTAAAGATATATCAATGTCTCATTCATCTAATCCATTACCATTGACTAAATCTTAGATAAATCTATACAGTTATCATTATGGTTACATTTTTGATTTAAAATATTTTCTTGTTTCGTTTTTTTTTAATTATCTTACAAACATAAAATGATTCTGATGTAAAAGTGGATTATATTACAACAAAATAACTGCCCTTATAGCATCTATTAGTGCAAATATTGTTAATTCATAAACATCTTTAGAAAAGAAAAAGTATTTTTTATTCAAAATAAAAAAGAATTCTTTAATAAATTATTCAGTACTATTGAAAAATAAGGTATGCGTATAAACGTAAGCGGTCTATTGCATGTTTAATTAAATAGAATACAGAAAAGCTCTATTTCAGGACTCATACAAGAATGAATTTCAAATATTGAGTAGTCCTGTTTCTGTCAACACTATTTCTTCGTCACACTAATTGTCAGATAAATATTCAATATTCCATTTCTTTGACATATTCATAGAGATATTTGTCGGTGAAAATTGGCATGTCTGCATATGATTTAGAAACTGCGTGAATTATAAAAGAACAAACGAAGAAGAAAAAAAGGAAAAACTATATTGTCAATTATTCTCCTTTAACATCTCCATTTGTGTATGCAGATTTTTATTTTGAATAAAACAATGCAAAACTTGTGGGGTAAATCAAATTAATTGAAATTAAAGTAACTTTTTTTAAAAATTTTTCTTTAGTTTTCATTTATCTCTTTACTTTATCATCGATTCAAATAATGTCATCATTTGAAATAATTAATAATCATCAAAATGAAGATAAATTAGATGATATACGGGGAAGTTCATCTTTACCTGATGATTCATCTTTATTACCATCAAACCTTTTATCTATGGAAAAAAAAGAAAGTGATCCTGAATGTTTATCGAAAGATCTTTTTTCAAATATGTTTTATCGTAATCGACGAGCATCAATATCTCGTCCTTATTTTCATCATTGGCGAAGAGCTCGTGATAATAATCGTCATCCAACAAAAAATTTATTAGCATTTTCACCTCGTTTAGGTAAACGAGCATATGACAATGATCAACAATCCGATGTTCTCATTAATAAACAACAATTAGAAAACGAAAATCAATTAAATGATCTTGATACATTTCTTATTGGCTATTTACTAGGAAAAAACATTGATATTATTTATGAAGATCCAACAAAAATTTGTTTATCACAAGCTATTAACAATGATCTTATTCAAGAAATGTTTGAGAAGTATCACACGAATCGATCTCAACAAGATAAAGATAATGCACGAGAACAACATTTAAGCGATAAAGATCCATTTTGGTTTCGCTATCGTCTTGGCCAATGAAGCAAAAAAAAGACTTATCTTGTATTTAAAATGAAAAGAATAAATTGAACAGCAATACATATGCGCATGAATTCTCTTTTTTATAAAATTTTTCATTGAATTGAATAATGAAAAGATAAATACCAGAGAGAAAAAACGAATTCTAACTTTTTTATGATCATTACCTGATCAAAACTATCGATTTTGTTATATTACATAAATATAGATAAATAGTTTTAGAGACATTAACTGTTATTATAATAAGGTAATATTTCAACTTCTACAGATGTCTATAAACAATCGATGAAGATAGAAATGAAACTGCAAGATACAAAATATTTTTTTCAATGATTATATGTTAATTAAATGGAGCTTTATATCAATGTAATTTTCATTAATCATAGTTTCAAATAGTCTATATGTGAACATAAATGTAGAAAGAGTATAACGTACAGTATTGGTCAATAATATAAGGCTAATCGGAGAGCCCTGGTTGACGGAGAGGCCCTGGTTGCATGGGGTACGTCTCTGACTTGGATCCAGAGCGTATGAGGTTCGATTCCTCCTCCCCGAATAAAGCACACTGTTTAATCATATTGTATAAGCTTACCGGCTATTGTCATACTGTATACAAGCAACATGTCTACACACAACGTATGTTATCTCGATGGAATGTATGTGCACGTTGGAAGGTCGTGTTTCAATTCTTCGTTGAATGGTCACATAAGACATGCATTATATTCCGCTCTTATCTTTCTCTGCTCCGCTTAAGCTTGCTTTTCTCTCTTATGTGTAACCTATTGATTGTAAAAGCTACACTGTCCCTTTAGGACCGACATGGTCGTGGGGTTTTCATTGCTAATAATAATAAAAATAAAATAAAATAAAATATATATAAGGCTAATGAATTTTTGATTTTTTTTCTACGATATTTGATAGGTGGACTATGAGAAGAAGATTTCTGAAATACCAAAAATGGTAGTTTTCAGATCCTAGAAGGATGTTGAAATCAGTTTTTAAGAGTATAACCTTAGAGAGCACAAAATCCTGAATTAAATGAAGGATTATTGCATATTCTCAGACCTTTGTTTAAAAAGTGATAGGCATTACAAAAAAAGAACAAAAAAATACGTTTTTTAACAATGCTATGATAAATTTCGCCGTATAAAGCTTATAATGTTTAAAGAAAAGATCGTAGGAAATGCGATGACCCCTCATTGTATTTTGAATTTTGTGCTCTTTAAGATGATATGCTTAAAAATTAACTTTTACACATTCTTCTAGAACTTGAAAACTACTGTGTTTAATTTTTCAGAAATCTTTCTCTCATAGTCCATCTATGGAATTTTGATCAGCAATGTATTTGATAGAGAGACTTCATTGACTATTCAAACAACTATTTGGTTTGAGTTAAGTGTTTATGAAGCATTTTATTGTTAGTATTTTCCAATATATTTTTTTTCTTATTGTTCATCTAATGGCAACACATTTGTGATTAACAGATGACGCTTATAATTCACTACAAAATTATATATGATTCGGTTCAAATACTATTTCAGGCATGCTATTATTATATTATCACACATTTCCAATTGTCCGCAGTACGTTTGAAACACACAAAAAAAAAACTAACACCTCCAGAATAGAATGCTACCGATCTCACAAAAAGACGGATGTTGACAAGAAAATTGCTTATTGAAACAAAGCACCTATTATAGCATATATTGTATGAAGATGTCGATTGTTTCATAAATGAATGGATTTAAATAGCTATTCATGAACTTTTTCCACAAAAGTGGTTCAATTATGCAAAGCGAATGTTAACGCAATATTATGAGACTTTACGCACCTCTACTCTCAGTTGAAAATAGAATGTAATAGTTTGCGTGCATCATGCATAAATAGCCATTGATCATTGACTTCACTCGATTTAAACCTTTTGAAATATAGATTATAGAATGGTCTCACGGAAATTACGTGTTGTGATCATATTACAACATAATCAGCAAATAAAAATATGTTAATGAAAAGATTGCATAAGAAAAAACTTTTAAGATTTTATGCTTAATTTCATTATACGATTATGCCGTATCTATAAAATAGTATATTTATTAAATAAAGTATATCATGTAGCGGAAGAATTCAAAGAACAATGTTTTGATTAAAGCAAAGTTTTCAATCAAATGAACAATAGACAAAACAATTAAAAATTCTCATAATACAATTCTCTATTTCATCATAAACCGACCATCAACTGTTTTTATTAATCGATATGTCTCGTATCGAATATCAATCTAAATCATGTTAAATGTTGCTATTAATAATTTTCATGATGACAATTATCAGAATGTCATAGTCACTATTCATATTATTGATGTAGCAATTTTTAGAGATAAAAGACCAATTTCAGGTAAAATAGACATTTTCTATTAAATATAAAAGTGTATTAAAGTTAATTATTGTTGATAATTTTAATAATTTGATTCTTCTTTTCTTAATTAATGAAAGACAATGTTTTCATTAAATCGATAACATGACTTTTAACATGATATGATTTACTTGATGGTAAATTATTGCATATTATAATAAAACAAATATATGTGTCGAAGCGCCATTGATGATGTCGTTGCCAACAGAATAGAAAAACAGAGGTTGCTGCTTAGTAAACATCACATCCAATGACTGATCATCTTTGACTTTTCAATGTCTTTAATTTTATTCATCATGCATTTATTACAAGAAAAAATAAATATCTATTTCACTTTTATGGCATCTATTTAATAAAATGAACATTAGACATTTTTTTTTCGGTCATTTTAATAATATCTGGTTTTTTAGATAACACGCAACATTGCGTGACATTGTGAAAAAGTTATTCATTATTAAAATGTCGTCTCGTCAAATACCACCTAGCACAACATCAACACCATTAATTAGTTCTAATGACAATAATACAAATCGTGAAACATCAGAAAAACAATTAAATGAACATGATCGTATGCGTATGAAAGAATTTGGTCAAATATTTAATCGACATAGTTCTATAAATCGAGCTTTACTTGAAGAGCTTTTTCGTAAAGAACCATCAGAATATACTCAAACAGTTTATCGTTATGCAAGTCGAATATATCATTGTTTAAAAGAAGAGCAAATAAATCCTATATTAAAAGCATTAGCAAATACAAAGGATGAACAAGTACAAATTAAAAAATCAACACTTGATGTACCAAAAATTGATTATGCAAGTGATCAACAAAAACGACGCACACTTAAATTAGCTTTTTCTGTTTTACGATGTAAGTCGTTTTAAATCATGGTTATACTTGGACTAAAAAAAGTAAAGAAAAAATATTTCATTAGTTCCATATCTCAGTAGCAATTAATTTTTTTCTATAACTTTTAATGTTAGATTGTAGCAGGAATAATTGGTTGTGTAATCGGTATTGATTTTATTATGATGATGATTAAATGAAATTGTATTCATTTGATTGTTAACATAGTTGATTTTAGAAAACTTATTTGATTATCCTCTATATATTTATATTTATCTTCATTACAAATTTCAAATGAAGGATTTATTTTGTAAACACTCTTGAATTGAAATTTCATAATCAAATAGACGATTGTTTTCTTTGTTTTGTTTTGTTCGCCGAAATAATATTAACTTTTTATTTAGATCAAAAAATTGTTGAAGAACTTCTGGAAGAAACTCAATTCTTTTCAAATTATCCTGATGTAATTTTTTTTCTGTAATTCTTATTTTTATATGAAATATTTCTTTAATATTTAGTTAAAAGATGAATTAAGTCTTGTTTCAACAGTTCTATACGATTATTTGAGTCGTAAATTTCAACCGCGTGATGATCCTGCTGATCTCGATGATAAAGAAGATTTATCAAATAATGATCAATTCGTATCAACAATTGAAAATGCTATTTTACAAGAACGAACTCGACTTGCTGCAGCATTAGCTCGTAATAGGTAAACATACACAAAAGAAAAATCAAATAGACAATAAACAATTGAATATATATTCGATATAATTTCTTTTTTTTTAGAATAAAATCACAAGCATTATCACTTGAAGATTTATTGCCAGAAAATTTACGCGAAGTTCAACAACATTCAGCTGAATTACCAGTTTACGCTTGGGTTAATTTAATTAAAACTGAGTATGTTATGAAAACAAAATTGAATTCAACTTTTTATTTAATAGTAACATGAGTTGCAAAAGAAATGGAAAAAATGTCGAACTCCGTTAAATCATAATAACAACTTTTAAAGCAATCAAGATTGTTTTTTTGTTTTCGACTACGTGAACCAAATTTTATTAAAAAATATACAAAAAAGTTGCTTATAAAAAACCATATCGTCTGAGATTTGTTAAAATCTTTTAAATTCATTCCGAATTCTTTAATTAAAAACAAATTGAAAAATAAAATTTTTCTAAAATAGATTCTATGACTGAAACTATAGATTTCTTTTTATGTTGTTTATTCTAAATATATCAGATCATAGAATCTTAGCAGAAAAAAGAAACAATTCAAAAAAAAATTTTAACCTTGTAAAATGGTCCGATATTGTGAACGATAAAATTCTTCCGCCTCTTTCACAACAATTAAACCAAAAGTAATTTCACTTCCGGTACGTTACTCAAGAGTCCACTCTTTATGCTACAAGAGGCATTATTAAAGATGTCTTTCCCATATTCTTTTGACATTGAAAAAAACAATAATAGAAATAACAAAAACATATTTGATTACTAGCAGAAGTTATAATCAATACGATCTTATCCAGTTTAACATATTTTCCATTTCTTTTCGAAGGTATGTTATTTATTTTTTGTTCGTTTTTTTTGCAGTATGGAAACTGTAATTAAAGTTTTTGAAAATAATGAACAAATGAAACGAGTTAAAACAATAACAGAAATGGATAAACGAACATTCTATGTTGATTATCATTGTTCAAATTTACTTGTATTTCATTATACACAAAAACAACGTATTGCTAATCATTATCTTGTTCGTGATAATCATTTATATTTACAAGATAAATCAAGTTGTATTGCTGCGCATACAGTTAGAAAATTATTAACAAAAAAAGATAATATTTGTTTAGCTTATGTTAGTGGAGGTATGTTTATATATATATATATGATAAAAAAACAATGACTTTTTTTTTCAGGTCTACTTCTTCAACTTTTAATTGTACTTACCGACGAACTTGAATCAAAAATTTATGCATTCGGTGGTCGTACAGAAGAAAATATTCGAGATATTCAAACTAAAATTAAAACATTAGGAACAGTAGATAAACGTAAATTATTTCGAATTAAAAATTTTTTTTTTTCATAAAAAATTAAATTAATATTAACTATAGGTATAAAAATTTTTAAAGAAAATTTTACTGATATTAATTTTGATGAACTTAATATGGAAAGTTGTAAAGTTATTTTATGTAATCCACCTGATTCTCGTTCTGCTCTTATACAACCACTTGATTTTCTTTATAATGAAGGAGAAGGTTTGATAAATAATCAACAAAATTTCTTTTGATTATTAGTTTTTTCATTTATAGATGTATCATTACTTAAACAATTTTCACAACCAACGGAAAATAAAGCGTATATAAAAGAATGTATACAACGTGAAACAGCTTATATGAGACAAGCAATTCGATGTAAGAAATAAAATGCTATGATGAAAACTTCGAATTAAATTATAATATTTAGATCCATTGGCAAAAGCTATTGTCTATGCAACATTTTCGAAAAATAAGTCTGAAAATGAAGAACTTGTTCAGACAATGGTTAATGAACAAACTGAACAACGTTCACAACAAACTCCTAGAAAAGATATTGGTACTTACAAGTAAGAAACATTTTAAAATTTTTATTGATTATATAATTTTAATTACTATATAACGATCTAATAAGTTTGATCTTTCATTTACAACTTTCTTTATTGAAAGAACAAAATAATCAAAACTGACAATATTTTATGATTTCAATGCTTTGGTATTATTTGCATTAAAACTAATTAATGCCAAGTTGTTAGTATTAAATTAATATTATGTTTAATTTTAAAACATAGATTACCCGACGACTAGATTTCGAACGCGCTAAGTCCAGAAATTCCCAAAACTGAACTATTTTGTTTCGTTTTTAAGAATGACACTGTCAGTCAAAGGACCTATGTTACCGAAAACTCTCAAACATGAACTCTTAGACGTATATTTGCATGTAGCATATGTATTAGTATTTAAAAAAAGAAATGCTAGCTCAAAGGTAACAACTTGGTATTAATTAATTTTAATGCAAATAATATCAAAGCACTATGATTAATTTCAATACTAATGCTAATCTGGCACCTCTAGGTGATACTACATCATTCATTGGTTGGGCGTGTCGGTATTGTCACGTCTACACATGTGCTAATGGTCTACGATGTACTGTTGAATCGATTCATTGTTCATTTGCGCATGTAGGGATACACTTTTAATCATTACCATTAAGATCAATGGAAAAGGTAAACGTGTAAGGAATCTAGAATGAAAACCGATAAATCCAACAAAAAATTGTGAGAATCTAGGATAAAACTGGTTTCTTGCTTTATGTTAAGAAAGCGAAATAATACGAAGAAAAACTTGGTGTTCATCTTTAGTTTATCTGTACGTCTCAACCGGTGCACCGATAGTATAACATCACCTTTGTATTCCTCATTTAGATTACTCATTGATTGCAATTCGTCATGTAGTCTTTTTGATATATCATTTTTCATGATGTCATCATTGTAATACTTTTCGTAATTCGTAACGGTAATCCTTCGAGTCAGGCTTAAACTTAGTTTCAAAAGTCATCTTCATGCAGATAGGTATGGACAACAAAATTTTATACTAAGTTAAGCAAATGTTCTTTTACAATAAAATATGAAATTATAAAATCTATTAGGACTAATGATATTTGTTTCTAGAGTATCACCACCGGTCCTTCCTATTCAATTTGGTACTCGAAACGAACAAATGCCAATTCTTCGTCAAGGAATTTTTATGCAATTTGAGTCATCACAAAAAATGAATGGTGTTTTTGTTGCTTTATTATTACGTGAAGTAATATTTTTTATACATTCCAAAAAAAAAACCAACAAATATTCATTCATACATTCTTATTTGGTTGTTTTTTTTTTCTTAAATATTCCTAGCGTGAAAAACGTCGTTCAACTGTACCAAAAAAGAAGACCGATGATCATGATTCCGATTCAGACAATCAACAAAAAACGAAGAAAGATCATGGTTTTCAATTTGAAACTGAAATTCGTGCCGCACATCGTCGACAACAACAACAAACAGTTAAGTCTCAACGTAAAAATGTAACATCTTCATCTAATCGACGTGCAAAATCAAGTGCAGCAATAACACGTGATCTTGCTAGTACATCATCAACACGTCATGAATCAACACCAACACAACAAATTCAATCAGTTAATAGTGAACCAAAAGAATTAACACTTTCAGAACGATTAGCATCAATTGGACGTATAACAAATACATTAGATACAACTCAAGATGAAACATCAAAAAATAGCGAGTCTGTACAAACCAAAAAATAGACTTTTGCTTTTTTTTTTCATTTATTCCTAATTCTCACTGGGCGGCTTGCATGATCGAGCTTTGCACAATGCATTTTTTTTTCATTGTGAATTTCCGATACCTGCTTCTTTTTTTTGGACAGCTTCGAGCTTACTTTTAATTTTTTTTTCTTTAATTTTAAAAATGCTAAATATAATGATCTCAAATAAAAGAATGAAATACAATTTTACACAAAGAAATGAAAATCTATCAAAAAAACATTTGTTGTTCTAGTCTTAAAAATTATACATATCAACAAACTATTATTCCAACAGAATTTCAATGGTGTGTCCTTATTTTAATATTTAAAATAATCTTTCTTATTAAAATTAATAATAATCAGGTCAAAAGATATTCATACTGATATGAATCAATCAGTATCTGAAAATACGAAAACAGATTATAAAATTGAATCATGTTTATTAAAAGATAATAAAGACTATGATCATTCATTAAATTATCAAGCAGAAAAAATATTACTCACACCAGTATCTAATATATCGAATTATCATCTAATACCTACATATTCTTCAAATGGTCAAATTATTCGTCGTTATTCTTATCGAGAATTATTAACAAAATCATATCGAAGTATTCATATGCATAATAATAGAATTCCTATTAAACAATGCAAGTTAGCATCAAGAAAATATTAATTTCTTGTCTTTTCTTCTCTTTTATTTTGTCTTGTATAGAATTACTTTAGAAAATTCAAAAGAAATTACTCAACGTTGTCGAACTTGTAGACTTAGTTATCGATCAAAGTGTATACATTATTTTCATTACTATGATATTAATTATCTGATTCGAAAAATACAAATAATGAATCCCATTCTATCAAAATCAAAAGTTCAACATCGAATACAGAAAACTTCTACAAAAGACAGAATTCAAATTTAATTCAAATGATTATATTGATACATAACTCAGCACCGGAGACGAGAAGGAAATCACAAAGTAATTGAGTCCTAGAACACGGAATGCTACATTAATAATTCTTCAAAATAGTAGGTTGCTGTGTGGACAAACTTCAAAAACTGTAGGAATTCTTACTCTTGCGATTATACTTAGAACATACTGAAAGTATTGAGTTTTTGAAGAAAAAAAGATTTTGAAAAAAAGTAAATTAACTGTTTATTTCATCCGTTCAATTCATTTTTTTAAAGTTTTTTTTGTTTTTATAATCATATATACTCAATGAGCTCGTTGTTGTGATTTAACACGATGCAACAATTCAAGGTTACACTGATCGATCAGATTTTGTTTGATCAAGTTGAATAGCCAGAAATCACATAATGACAACTCTAGAGAGTTAAGTGATTGTTGTATAATTGTGATGGGATATATACTATGATACTGGTATTTGTTCCATACGATAGATTAAAACAGGACCAGTAGTCTTAAAAAATATTTTTAGAAAAAACGACGTTTTTTTGAAGCAAAGAGACTTTGTCGAATCACAGTTGACAGTCTCTCCACTTGCTATTCAAACAGCATTTGATACTTTTCAATCAATTTGTTTATGATTAAATCACGGCTCATCATCAGTTACATAATCACCGTGTACTTTGCTCAAATTTCGCCAAATTTTCTTGAAATATAAGAACTTGTTTAGCTCATTGAACATCAGTCAGTTAGCTGGATTTTTAGCGAGCATTAATTTTTTCAAGCTTGAAATAGTCAGAAATGATTCATTCGATGATGCCATGAGCTAAGATCCATTTTCATTTCTATTTCATCAAATTTGAGCGCGCTTAGCGCCCTTCAAAGAGTCACGACCCATGCTTATCTCTGTGTACAAAGTTATGTTGAATTATAATTCGAATTGACATAAAAATTTATCGTTGATTTTGGCTATGTGTGATGAAATTTTGATTGGTTCTCGAACTCGAATTAGGCAGTTACTCCATATAATAATAGTAACTGAATGATGATGACATACGAGAGAAATATACAGCACTGTTGACACTACAAGCATTTATGAAAAGAAATTTTCTTTGAGCTTTGCATAGCGTAATATAATATTGAAATTATTATTTGTGGTATTTCCTATGTAGTTTAAATTCGTCAATATAATAACATTAATAGTATTTTATTTGTTCAAAAAAAACATTTACTTGTAAATCGATACTAGTTGTTATAGTTGTTTTTGAAATAAATGTCTGATACACTTTAATTATGAGTAAAAAGATCTTCTATTATCAAAACATCGGTTGTTTTATTTTATTTTTCTATACAATAGAATTTCATTTTTAATGATTTAATTTGAAACGTGACATATTTCGTTGTCGGTCGATTTTATTTCATAACCAAACGATTTTGTCTCATAGCACGTATACTAATTATCAAAAGAACGAGTGAAACAACACACCTGCTTGCTTTTGTCAATGATCTTAATTGACACATCATGTGCCTTAAGCCAACAATCATTAGTACATATATATATATATATATATATTATATTGAATAGCCCCACCCACACCTGTATGTATACATATATTTGTTTGTTTGATGCGACGACATAAAAAAGAAACAACGGGGAAATTATTTAATTTATTCTCTCACACCTATACGTTCCATCATTTTTTTTGTCTGTAAAGAAGAAGAAACACACACACACGAAAAAAAAACAAAAATGGCTATACGTTTACAAGTACAAATAAGCAAATAATCGAATTGTTTTTAAGTTTGTTGTAATGAATTATTTATTGTACAACTCCAATAGCAGGTGTTGATGTAGGTGATGATAAATCATGTTGTTTAGTTGTATGTTCACGTGCTTTAAGTCGAAGAGTAGCTATACTACTTGTACAACGATTTTCATCTGTATTAGGACGTGTAACAAAACTTGTTATTGATGATGATTGTTGTTCTGATGATATTACATTTGAATTACTTATCGAACGTTTACGTTTTTTGCTTGATGATGATGTTGTTGTGCTAGTATTATTATTATTATCATTACTGTTCGTATCATTATTTTGAATTTTTGTTTCAATTATTGATTCTTTTTCATTTGTACAAGATGTTGTTGATACTAATGAAGCAGCAGCTATTTGTGCTAATTGTTGTAAAATTGCTATATTTGGATATGTTGTACCAAGTTGATTGGTTGATGGCCAAAATGATGTTGGTGGTGGAAACATTGGTAAACATGCAGCTGCTGCTGTTGCATTAAGAAATGATGATGTTAATGATGAATATGATGATAAAATTTCTCCAGGTGTAAATGAACTAAGACGTGTAAGAAGACTTGGTGGTGGAGTAAAAAATGGATGAGTATGTGTAGTATTTGAAAGTAATGGATGTGTTGTTGATGTTGATGATGTATTTAATATACATGATGGATTCATTTTTTCACGTTTTCGCCATTTTGCACGACGATTTTGAAACCATACTTGTACACGTGCTTCAGTTAGATCGATACGCATTGCTAATTCTTCTCTGAATAGAAAGAAACAACACAATAAAAACAACAGGATTATTTTCGAATTAATTTATAACAAAAAAAAAAAGAAACAGCTTAAATGAAATGCTTTACATAATAAGCTAGATATAATCTGATAGTATGTCAAAAGATTCATTTTCAATCAATTTAAACGTGTGTAAACAAAGTGCAAAAAAACATCAACACATGATTTATCCCTTGTTTTTTTCTTTTTTTTTTTTTCGTATTAATACGATGTGATGATACGTTATTTCATTTTCTCTTTTCATTTATACTATTGTATTCATTTTATCACAGAAGTATGCGAAAGAGTATTTCTTTAAACAAATAAAACTCATCAAAACGATCATAGGTGTCTAATCGAAGTTTATCACCAAAACAATCCTCTCGCTTATTCGTGTGATAAGTGTCTATAACAACAATTTCCCGCTGTGAAACTATACGAGATATATAAGTGTTGACATAGGTATTTATTAAATGATTGGTTGATGAGGAAGAAATAAGTCGGTATAGATAAACATCATTACATAGATTTTTCTATTGGGAGGTGCATGAAGCTCTCTTAACAATAAGTACTTTTACTTTTTTTTTTCTTCTTTTTCTCTTACTGTGCAGTTCATATAATTGTTAATCAAAGATAAGTGGGTAAAGAGAATATTGTGTGTATGTATACAAGCAATAGGAGACAGAGAAGAAAATTTTTTTCTAAATTCTCATAAGAGAAGTAGCTGAGAGAGAGAGAAAATGACTATTTCTATTTCGTTTGGTTTAAGTGATTGACGATTATTGAAGTAGACGGATGCCAAAGAACTGCGCGAGTAACCAATTTTATGAAGAAAAAAAATTTGATTTGAATCGATCGATGCGTTCGTTGTTTCTTCTTTAAAAATGTTTGCATTCATATTTCAATATATATATATATTATAATAATAAAAAAACATTTCTAATGAGTTTTTCTTTTTCTTTTTATCGATATACAAACAAACAGAACGTTTAATGATGTAATACTATGTAGTAAAATTTGAAAGAATTTTAAATTAATCAAATATTTTACCTCATAAAAACATCTGGATAATGAGTACGTTGAAATGCTTTTTCTAATTCTTCTAATTGAAATGAAGTGAAAGTTGTTCTAAAATGAAATTTTTAAACAAAATTAATTTTGTTCTCTTTTCTTTTTTTTTACATTTTTAATTTAATTATTAGTTTTTTTTTTTTTACCTATAGCGTCGTTGTTTTCGTTTATGATTTTCATCATCACTATAACCACTTAAACTATCACTTTCTTCTTTTTCAAGATTTTCCGATCCAATTGGTGCCGTTGAAGATATTCCAATCATTTTTGTAACTTGATCGTTATCAGAATTAGTTACTAGTTGTTGAGTATAAATATTCATTGAATGTTGAACTTGTTGTGATGAATAAGGTACATTTTTCCAGTTAATCTCGTGTCTCTCTTTATCTTGGCTATGTTTAATATCTGTCATCTTCATTTTAATGATCAAACGAATGTCTATTTATTTGTCTCTTTCTCTCGATTTCTATTTCTCTTCCTTTCGAAAATATGTTAGTTAATTTTATCGTATCGAGACATAAATGAGAATTACTAGGTGCAATTGGCTTCGTATTGATTGTATGACAATTGATTGGTAGAGAAAGAGCGAAAGAATAAAAATAAAAAAAACGAGAACGAGCAACAGAGAGAGAGAGAGAAAAGAATATAGAAAATCGTTTCTTTTTCTCTTGTCAATTGTCACTATTGCCTATGATTGGATGTATTTTAGTTTAATCGGAGGTAAAAGAAAAAGAAAAGAATTCTCTAGATGATTGATTTGTTGTTTACGTAGCTTAAATGAAGAAAAGAAAGAGGAAACAAGCTTAATTTCTTTTTTTTGTTCAAAAAAGGAAAGAGAAAAAAAAAATGAATAGAGTTCTTGTCCAATTAAAAGCGATTGAAAAAGAAACAAGAAAAAAGAAAAATTGATGACTTTCTAATAATAAAAATATTTTCGATTGAATTTTGATGTACTTATTATTAGTCATAAATAAACATAATAATCATTGGATTGATTTAATATGCGTAGAAATCGAATTTATTCAGTAAAAAGTTTTCAAAATATGGATTTTAATTAAACAAAAGAGAATTTTATTTGGATTTAATTTTTTTTTAAGGAGAAGGCTCAGTTCCCGTTTGAAGTTGAAAATCAGGTATTTTTTTCTTTTTATAGGAGACTAAAAGGTTTATGGTAGTGGCAAAACTAAGAGTAGGCTACTAATAATTACCATTATTGATATTATATAGCTTGGATTTCCTTAAGATAGTCTGGAACTACTTTACTACTTTTTGAATCCTATATTTTATGATCAATGATGGCTCGAAGCAGTAACTCTGCGAGGGGTTGTCTTGAGATTTATTGCAAAGCGACAATTATTTTTCTTCTAACAACATGCCAAAAAGAGAATTTCAACTCTGCTAGAAAAAAATAAAATTTTTCTATGATTGGCCACATGTTACACTTCCGATACTCGCCCGCCATTAGATCACTACTACAATATTTTATGAATGATTCACATGTCATTAGATTATTAGAGAAAGTAATAGTAGAGAATTAATTCATATACGAAAAATTCATTAGCTTATTGTTATTATTAAGTTTTGAAGATTTCTTGAAAACTATAAGATAAAACTCGAGAACTATAATTTCATCTGATTGATTATTAAACTTTATCATAATAATGATGAAATCATTTAGTTTACATTTTGATAGCAATATAATTTTGTTTGTACAATTCGACGCCCGATGATCAAACGATTGTATGTGTACGAACGCGCACTTATATGCAGTGCTATCCCGTTTAACGAAAAGGAATTAGTATAATAGTGTCAACGGTTATGTATTTTTGGATACGATTGAATCTTGTCTCGTCTCGTATGTTTGTATATGTGTTTGATCATTATAATGAGGCACTTACCGTTTGGTTGACTTTATTTTTACTGAAATATTTTGTATACAGATTCATGTAATCTATATGATTGTTATTCTTTTTTTGAAATAAAATCACGTACATAGATATTATTTATTAATCGAACATGTTTGATCAATATTATATAAATAAATTTATATATTAGAATTATAGTTTTTGATATATCAAACAGAAAAGATTGATTATGATTACGTATATTTATTGTAATTAGAGCAAGAATGTTATGGCGACTTCAATACCATTGTTTAAGAGCTCTCTTTCACTCATAATCATTCAAATTTATAGAACGTCTTTTCAATATGAATACTTCTACAACATATAAATAATAGTCTACTTTCGATACCGTTTATTTTTGACAATGATTGTAAAAAAAATAACTCAACATCATTGTTGCTATTTTGGTGTATGACAATTTATGGCTTCATTCTTCACAAGAATCCAATAAAAACGTTTACTATTGATGAATTAAAATGCACAATTATCGAGTGACTTTATTTCAAATTATGTACTGATGAGAGTAACACTATAAGTTAAGATTTCTACTTACATTTTAATGGACAGAAAGACTTATGTATGATCGTTATAAAGTTATAACTATTGACAATTGATTTTTTTTCCAGATTATCTCAACTAAGATATTTAACAAAAGATACAAAATAATTGTTAAATATGATTGTGAACACGGTGATGTATGTATTAAATTAAAACTATCTTTCGTTGATTTTTTTATACATTATGCCTTGATTGTTTGTGTTTGTGGAATACTTGAAGTGCTTCTTTTTTTAAAGTGAAAATTGATAATTGATATTGACAATGGAATTCTTGCAAAATTCTGTTGGTTAGAAAGATTTTTGATGCCAAATATAACTATTTTTTATTGTATAAGTTAATAAAAATGAAATATTAAAAAAAAGATTTTTTTTTATAGGTATAAAAGAAATCTATGATCTTTCAAGTGCAATACATTGATTGTTTTCTATAGTCAATATCTACTTTAATACCTAAGATGAAGTTCAATATCAGAAGCTCATATGCAGCAGAGTTTATGAAAAAATCAAGGAAGTTTCTAATTACTTTCTGACTTTTCTAATTTCGAAGATTTTCCTGGATTTCAGGTTTTCACTGTTTTGACTAAGATAAGGTAATCACTCATTTCTATGCATGTATCACTTGTATAAATTGTTTATCTTCTTTTTTACTTCATTGATATTATGAATATAATTGTGAATCGCCAAATTTTTGTCGGTGGACCTGTTATTAATCTAATTTTTCATAAAACATATTTATTGTTTCATCCTCAAATATGTAGTATTTAAAAATACTGAAGCTATTTTGCATACAATAGCTAAACAGATGAAGTTTTCATGCAGGCATTTTATGAAGAGGAAGAGGTTGTATGAAATTTTGTCACGAAGACTTCTTGAATGCCTCACTTTTTTGTTTTTCTTTAAAATCTCAGCTACTTTTTTGATGCAGGATTTATTCGAAACAAGATTCTTTGATATTATATTAGAAAATATAAGAAATTTCTTTCCCTATTTAAAACCACTGAAAAGACCGTTTTTTTAATAATTCCATGCAGCTTGTCTATTACATGACACAAAGACATATTCTATGTGCTGAAAAATACACATTCACTCCTGAATTGAGACGCTTTCTTGCATGGAAAACAACTCAATTAAAGTCGTCAAAAACATTTGGTCTAGTACGTTTAATTGTAAAATTATGCCAAAATTTTATGAAAGAATGTATTTAAAACTGATTTACTTTTCAGCTGTGTTCATACTGATACGTATATAGTTTTTAAGCTATAAAACATCTTTTCTCTACCGTTCAGATCATACATAATAATAACAGAATGAAAAACAGAGTGTGAATGTGGGAAAACATGCAAGACATTTTAACAGAATAAAAATCGCTCTCCGATTCTGTTCCAATAAAAAATTTTGATTTTGAAAAGAAAGATTCCAATTATAAATTTTTCGATCTAGCGATTCTCACATGTGTTATACATAGACTTTACAATAGTCTTGGGTTGTGACGATAAGGCGTAACGTATTCATAATCAAGATTATCTTAGAAATGGGTACAGCGTATTAACCGTCGGATATAAATAATCGAAAAAAGTATCTCATATGTTCGGAGTGACATCGAGTGCGGCTTCAAAAATCGCATCAAGAGTATTTACTGTAAAGTTAAGTTCGGGGTTCAACATTTTCAAATGCAACCGGCTCTCTTACACTGACATCTATTCTATGAAATTCATCAAAAAAAAAATTATGTCGATAAACGAAAATTCTGATTTCCTACAGGACAATTAGTTTTATTGTCGGATTTTATCGGCTGTAAAGATTAGTTTAATTTATCTCCATATCTTTTGTATTAATAATCATATTATGATCATTTTATTGACATCTGAGTTGACCAATGAAATAACTATTTTTACTTTTTAGTCGAGCTTATGATGTGGTTCGGTTAATTTTTAAATTGATACCGTAGCATTTCTAGTTTTTTTTTCTTGTCAAATATAAAGGAAGAATATTCAATGGATAATCCTTCAAAAAACCAAGCATCAGCATCAGATGATCGTTTTCTTGGCGAATCAATGTTACGTCGAATAACAAATTTTGGTCTTGAACGAAATTCAAATCAAACAAAACATTGGATGCCAGATAGTGCTGGTAAAAAAAAAAAAAAGAAAATTCCATTCAGTCCATATACTCTTTATCTTAATCTTTCATTTTTCTTAGGCAAAGAATGTTATGATTGTCAAGAAAAATTTACACCATTTCGTCGACGTCATCATTGTATGTATATTAAATTCCATAAATTTAAAAAGAAAAATTTTTATTTCTTATGTTTTTTTTTTCTTATTGCTTTTATTTAGGTCGTATATGTGGTCTTCTATTTTGTAATCGATGTTGTTCCTATGAACCTCAAGCTAAATTAGCTGGATATAGTGAATCAAATATTCGTCTATGTTCATATTGTTCATCAACATTACTTAAATTACAAAAACCCAATGCAATGTCAACAACAATAACAACAACAACATCATCATCATCATCATCATCAACATCATCATCAAATCAGCAATATCTTTTATCAATAGCTCAAATTGATCAAGAACAACAACAACAACAACAGCAACAATTAAAACCATATTCTCAAGATTTAAATACATCTGATAGTGCATTTAATGCTGATCATTTTTCATTATCGAAATCTTCGAGTGATCCATTATTATTACATGTTGATAATGAACAAACATCAAATTCTACTGAACAAATTTTAACAAATTCTGAATTAAGTCCAAACAATTCTCAACAACAATCTCAACAACGAACAAATTCAAATTTTAATTTAAAATCATTATTTAATGAAATATTTCGTACATCACAAGGTTTACAAATGCAAAAACAACGTTATCGTTTCAGAACAATTGAATGTGTATTTGGAAAAGATATTGTTGATTGGTTAATTAAAAATCAACGTGCTTCAT